ATGGCGCGACATTTTGCATGCAAAAATTATTAGGCGTAAGGGAGAAATGTCATGCAATCAATATGCAGCGTGTAATATACGAATATGCAGGGGGCTACACATACATGAAGGCAAAATGTTGTTTAATAATATGCCATTTTTGTTTTGTTTTGACAGTAGCTGATAGCGCTGAAGATGGAGGATACCTGGTCACCTGACTCAGACATGAAACAAAATCAGAAAAAAAGTTGAAGGAACATTTATTTTTAAACTCTTTCTATTTGTTTTAACCATTTTCTAGGTTGGTTTTATATTTTGTTAGTTTATTGTTTATATTAACTAATAATTATGTAAATCATACTAAACCACAATAGGTTATATATATATATAATAATAATAATAATAATAATAATAATAATAATAACAACTTGTATTTTACATTTAAATTATAAATATATAATGCATTATATATTATTTAAAAATATATAATTTTAAGAATTAAAAAAATATAACAAAGTTAGAGTATGTTTGATTTCATTTTTAAAAATGATTTTTAATTTTTAAAAAATAAAATGTGCTACAAATTATACTGTGCTACTTTACTTCCTTGAATAGATGGAAAAACTTATATTTGAAAGGAGAAAAAAGTATACCTAACTTTATAATTAGGATATAATCAAGTCTTTCTATTATTGATATATTTTTTAAAAAAATTAACCCTAAATCATATAAATATTTATCAAAAAATTTAAATATGATATTGATCTAATAAAACTTTTTTATGTATGTAACATTTTCACTGAATCAATATCTTAAATGAAAGGGAAAGAAACTTTAATTGTCAGCAACAATGATTTAATTGAATTATTAAATTATATTTCAAAAATTTTATACTTAATTTGATTTTTAAATATTCTACGTAAATACTAAATTATTTTTTACTTTATAAAATAAAAATAAAACATGTTTAGAATATTAATAAATCAATATACACAATAAAAATTACTTTAGTAAGAATGTGTCTATAATTTTAGACTTGCATATTAAAGTAATATATTTTAAAAATCTCCGTTAGGATGTTAATAAATGTTCACCGTATAGTGCAAATTAATACTCATTAAAACGAATAAATGAAAAGGCATTAAATTTAATATAAATAAATTATTAAATTACAAAAATAACATTCACTTGAGTGAAAAAGTTATCATTAAATTCCCTTTCTGTCCACATCGGAAAAAATCTCATTGAAGGAAAAATGAGACATAGTGAAAATTAAAACCCTAAAATAACAATGTTACTTAGCAATAAAATTTTTTAAAATAAATTAATTTCTACGAGTATTAAACCTTTTTCCTCCATGATCCATCATTAGATTTGCTTAATGAGAAATCAAATTCTATTAAAAAATTAGATAAATTTTGATTTCTAATATGCACACTTATTTCAGTTGCATGAAGAAATCATTCTAAACCACACAAAATTATATTCAAATTATATAATTAGTTAAAAATTTATGAAATTTTAAAAATAAATATTATAATTTTTAAAATAAAATACTTAAATGAATAATTTTTTTTAAAATTAAAATTTTCATTTTTATAAAACAATTATTCAATTTATTATCAATGTTTAACATAAAAAGTGTGATTTTAATTCATTGTCACGGACTAAAATAGTGTATTTTTATTTTTTTAATAATTTATTTTAAAAATACGTTATTTTGATAAATCAGTTCTTTTTTTTTTCAACTGATAAATCATCTTGGAGGTTTACTTTTTTTTAAAAGGTGCTGATTAAGTGTTATTGGACCATTGAACAAAAAATATAACATTTGGGGCTGCTGCTGCTTGAATTCACTTTTTCTAGAACAGTTTTGTTGTTGATATTGACTACAATAATTTTTGTTTTGTTTTTAAATTAAAAATAAATAAAATAAAATATTTGAGACATGTATTTTAGAAATTAATTTCAATAAAACTTTTGAAAAAATCAATTATAAGATAGATTAATATGTATTGTTCATTCTCTTTAGAGTTATAATAGGTTGAAGTATGAATTGTATTTTAAATATATTTTTAATAAAATATTGATATTTAAAAAAACTACACAAAAATATTTTTTAAACATCTATTATTCAGTTAATGTGTTTTAAAAATTATATTCCATACATTTATTATATATTTTTAAATACAAATATGAAATCCTGTTTTCTCTTTGTTGTTAAAAATGTATATACTACTTCTACTCTTTTATGATATATATGTTAATGTCAACGAATCTACACTTTCTGCTTATTGTAATTTATTTTTGTCTGAACACTAAGTTTTATCTTTTTTTTTTTATTATTATTAATTTTTTTATTTGTATCTTTTTACTTATTTATTACTTTTTCTTTCAATAATAAATTTATTTATTTTTCTATAACTCATTTTATAATCCTTTGTGTCTACTTATAAATTTAGTCTTTATTTAATTTTATTATTGATAATACTATTGTAATTATTATTATTATTATTATTATTATTATTATTATTATTATTATTATTATATATCTTAAACACTGTCTGATGCAGATTTTCATGTTTTTTTTTGTATTGGTAAATTTTTAGAAATATATATTCCACTATTTATTTTAAGACTTGTGTAATATAAATCTCTTCTAAAATTAATTCATATTTTTAATCAATTACATTATTATTTTATTCATTAATCAAATTTTATTTTAATTATTTTTGGGTTAACTTTTTTACTTTGACATACTGTAAAATTATAACATTCTATATAAATATGTTATATTAGAGCTTGTTCAACTTAAAGTTGTTTTTAAAATTTAAATTAATTGAGTAATTAATCAATCATTGGAAATATATATTTTTTATTTTATTAGCGTAACTTTTTGTTACATCAAGGTGCAATTTATATTGCATTCAATTGTTGTACAAATCATATAAATTTATGTACAAATTACATAATTTTAGATTAGCAAATTTTTCTATTAAAGTATCTTTATGAATATTTTTTATAATTAAATATTTTTCAAAATTTTAATTTATTTTATTTTTAATTCATTTTATGAGTGTAACGTGAATGTGCAATTCTTTTTTACGTTTTACATCGTTATCTTTGTTTGTTTCATTGAATTGAGGACAATTAACGGTAGGAACATCAACACAAAATAATTTTTTTAATATATATATATATATATATATATATATATTTTTAAAACTTTAATTAATATTTTTGTAAATGATTTATTATATTTTATTTTAAAGTTAAATCATTAAAATTAATTAATATTTGTAAAATATAACAAACTTCTATAATTAATTTAAAATATTTTTTAAATACATTATAAAATGGTAAAACATTTTTTATGCATAAATAATTTTAATTTTAAATATATTTTTAAAGATCATATTTTAAAAATATAGTTTTTAAAATAAATTTTGATGACAATTTAAAAAATATATATTTATTTGTATTTTATAATATTTATTGGTGGTGGCTATCTTTTTCTCATAAAGAATGTCAGTGCTTAATTTCTAATATATTCTCACATATACTGAGTTGTCATCTCATACCCATGTCCATGAACATGCCTCAGGCAATTTTTTTTTCTTAAATAATAAATATACAAAGTTGACCAAATCCACTTTTGACACCAAATGTGAATTAAGGATGACAAAGTCATGAGTTGACATTTTTACATGATTTTCCCCACAAACTAAGCACTCTCTTGCAGACATTTTGGACCGATTATTAATTTGACATTTTGAGTCTACCTTAACATCATTAATTCCATTACACATAAATTAATCCACAAAATCGAATAATTTTAGATTTATTGGATTTCTTCGTTAATATATTACAATTATCCGTACAAAATCAAGTCCGTGCAAATAATTCTTTTACTATTTTGATATTATTTTAGGTTTTAATTATGGCATATTGGACTCCAGAATGTGCCTCATACATATATATGAGTAGTATACCCATAAACTATATTTTACAATAAACAAACATTAGTCAATGGATTATATAATATATGCATAATTATAATTTTAAAACACATATTTTACTGTAAAATATACTATTAATATGAGTTATTTTAGCTTAACATGTAATCTTGAGTTTAAGTTTTTATGAATACAGTTACATTGAATAATTGAAGAACTTTATCATTTATAATAATTTTGACTTAACTCAAATACGAGGGCTTTCAATAAATAAAAAATATTGGTCATGCATCTAATAAAAAATGTCTTAAAGATATAGCTTTTTTTGTTTATCTTTGAAAAATATATATATATATATTACAACAAAAAATTACAATGCATAAAGAGAGATAGAGATAGAAGAAAAAAAGTATTACAAAAGGTACTGTAGAAAAATATTATATGAATTGTATCACTCTTTTTTTTTAACTTCATTTATATTTTGGCGGAAGTAAGCAGGAGAAGGAAAAAAATGGAAGGCTTACGTGAATGCTCCTTCTGACTTATGAGGTAATTAACTATTATTATAAGGAAACAGATTAATGCGTCATGTAGATGTAATTTAGTCTAGCGGTTTCAATTTAAGGCAATTACAATTACAAACCTTACAGAATATAAACAAATGACGAGATCATTCTTCTTTCAGCTTCAATAGTTACCCTTATGGTCGACGTTTTGGTTTATTTGGTTGATAAACATAATCAGAGTGATAACGATAGTGTATAGAGTACTACGGACCCCACAAATTAATTGACAGAAAAAGGAGTAATTGAAAACAGCATTATTGGTTTATTTGGTTGATAAACATTAACACAATGACCATGAAAGTGGATACGCATACACAGATCCCACTAATTAATTGACAAAAAAGCCCTTTGACCTTTTCCTGTGAGAAATGCCACTATTTGTCCACAGCATCCTTTGCAAATAGGAACCCACCTTTGTTCCAATCTTCAAACTTAAAAGCTATCAATATGCTACCATTGGCTCTATAAATATCACAAAGGGCAAGGAATCATTCACACCATACAAAAGGAAAAAGCCTGGAACCACTTTTACAAAGATGGCCAAAAGCGAAAACTCTCCTCATGTTTTGCCTCTTGTTCTTCTTCCCCTTCTCTTCCTTACTCTTGTCAGAACCTCTCATGCTGGTGGCATAGCCATCTACTGGGGCCAAAATGGCAACGAGGGTACCTTATCTGAAGCATGTGCCACAGGGAAATACACCCATGTAAACATAGCTTTTCTCATCAAGTTTGGCAATGGCCAAACCCCTGAAATGAACCTGGCTGGTCATTGCAACCCTTCAACCAATTCCTGCACAAAGTTCAGTGCTGACATAAAGTATTGCCAAAGCAAAGGAATCAAAGTGTTGCTTTCAATTGGTGGTGGAGTTGGAAGCTACTCTCTGGCTTCTCCTGAGGATGCAAGAAACGTTTCAAAATTCTTGTGGAACACTTTCTTGGGGGGTAAGTCATCCTCAAGACCACTAGGGGATGCTGTGTTGGATGGCATAGATTTTGACATTGAACTTGGTTCCACAGCAAATTGGGAACACCTTGCACGTTTCCTCAAGGATTATAGCAGGTTAGGAAAGAAGGTGTACCTAAGTGCTGCCCCTCAATGTCCATTTCCTGATAGGTTCTTGGGCACTGCCCTTAACACAGGACTGTTTGACTTTGTTTGGGTTCAGTTTTATAATAACCCTCCATGTCAATATTCTAATGGTAACATAACTAAACTTGTGAATTCATGGAACCGGTGGACAAGTACAGTGCCAGCAAAGCAGATATTTTTGGGGTTGCCAGCAGCTCCGGCCGCGGCAGGAAGCGGTTTCATCCCGGCCAATGAGTTGACTTCTCGAATCCTGCCTGTGATCAAGAATTCACCCAAGTATGGTGGGGTGATGCTGTGGTCAAGATTCTATGATATCCAAAATGGGTATAGCACTTCCATCATTAGCAGCGTGTGAAGGGATGGGTAGTTTTAATTGACCAATGATTTCGTATCATCATCAAGTTGTGATTTAAAATTAAGAATGACAATAACGTTGCACTTTTGCAAAGTAGTGTGTTAGTTGTTATCTGCATTTGGGTGCACATGAATATATTCCAATTTGGCTTGTTTTATTTTCAATTCAGCAAAAAATAGTATTTCATAACAAGTTCACAGCTAATGACGATTTATTTAGAGTCGAGATGCTCTTAACTCAAATCATGCAGCAATTAGCCAATTTGCATTTCTTTTAAACGAGAAATAGCTTTAATGATTAGTAAAATGCAAACATGAGAGAAGTTTAGCTAATAAAATCCATAAACAGGAAAAGGGCTAATGGGAAAGGAATAGAACAATTATAAGTAAACTTTAAGGTTCGGTGGAACATAGAAAGCATCTCAGATTAACAAAATCAAAGAAACTGAAAAGCTCAACTAGCTCAATCATACTGAAATATTCCATACAGCTTATATATATATATATATATATATATATATATATGAAGCAATATACAAAGCAAGTTTGCGGTCTTTCAAAGCAGCTCAGAAAGCCTAATAATTTGGATGCTATGGCATCTTATCCAATGACTTAGTCCTAGATGGCTGTAAGCTTTTCAATTTCCGATTTCATATTGAAATTTCAATTACATGATATCCTCTAACACTTGTCGTAACTATGTTGACCTGGATATTGCAAGTTGGGAATTCAGATCCTCTCCATTTTTTTTTCTATTGTCTTGTTTATTTTTTCATCCAATTATTAAAATTATTATAACACAAATTCTATTTTAAAATTATTAATAGTTTTAAAAATTTTAAACGCTTAGATTAGTACCCCATCAGACACTAATATAATTGAATGCAAGTTTGATAATGGACTTCCAATTTTTACAATGACATGTATATCAGCATCACAGCCTGCAATATTGAGTGGAAAATTTATCATATTACTAAATAAGCAGAGAAATTAATCATATGGACTAATTAAAAAATTTACAGGTATCTTGAATATTTACTTTTCTAATAATCCTTCAGTTCATGAACTACTTGTGGAAGTCTGATATTTGTTTCCTGAGGAACAATTTCAAACTAACTGAGGCGCCACTGCTGCTCTGATATTGTTCATAATAATTTTTCCGATCTGCGATTCCCTTTCTTCCACTTCATTCTCATTTTGAACAATCACATTATTGTGATTGGGCTTCCACTCCACAAGCCATATAGGTCACTTTGACTTTGTCCATTTCATATATATATATATATATATATTAACTTACCCTTGAGAAATCCAGGGATCCTTAAGAAAAACTTAGAAACATTGAATTTCTCCCACTAATTTTCCCCTAACACCCTTAAACAGAGAAGGAATTAATAAACAACACAGTACATGCCAACGATGGCTTAAACCTACTCTACTCAATCTGCAACGAATACAAGTTTCAATATTATTCTGCCTCACTAACCTTTGTAAACCAAGTCCAATTCATTTTCAAGAAATAGTGGAATGCAACGATATCTACCCATGCAAACCAAATACACAATAATCTATAGAGCTAAGCAGAATTTCAAGAAGCATCATCATCAAAAAGAACTTTATAAAACCGTTTTCTTTCCTCAGGGTCAAACAACCCTCCCACATTGTTATCTCCATCATCATCATCATCAGAAACCTCACGGCTTCTCCTTCTACCCTTTACATCATCTACTCTAATCAAAGGAACACCTTTGTTCCTCCTCTTTTCCACATTGAGGAGGCGTCGCCTTTGATTGTACTCATGAAGTCCCTCTTGCATCAACTCCCCAAATCTCTCCTTCACAACTACCAAAGGATCTTTATCCACAAGCTGAGACCCAACATAAGCCTCTCTAAGAAGAACAGTGTAAATCTTATATTTATTAGAAACATAGAAAATGCCAGGGTGCCTTAGCAACAACACATTTAACCTATCAGGCAAAGCAAACTCTCTCCTAAAATGGCCCAACTTCACAATTGAGGCCTTCTTCCAAAGAGTAAGAGACAACAATTCATGCACCAAACCCACATTCCTTTTTTCCATCTCCATAGAACCGTCCACCAAACCTCTTGGATCTGAGTAAGGCGAAATGTAAGGAATTGAATCGAATTCACGAAATCGCTCCCACGATTTCACCCAACTGGAAGGCAAAGAACACGAAAAGCGCGGTGGGGTACCCAGCTTCATTGCCGAAGCTTGAATCGCTGAAACAGCAAAATCAGGGTCCCAATGCAGCAACTCAACCGCCATGGAACTCCTTCTGCCAGTCTCGTTCACAATTCGGAACAAATTGGAATAATTAGGCACAATTCTGAGTATATAATCATCGGGGAACCCGAAATAGCGCTTGAATTCGTTGATTTTGAGGACACTGAGTCTCTTGTGGAGGGTCAACATGAGGAGTTTGGCGAGTCGGCGAACAAAGAGGGGTTCCTGGGAGTCGATGAGGGATTGTTCCTCTGAGACGAGGTTCATCATGCGCTTGGTTAGGCGGCAACGGTCATCGTGGATCTCGAAGCAGCAAGGGTACTTGGAGACCCAGTTGAGGGCTTTGCCTTGGAGATCTAGGGTTTTGAACTTCTTCTGTAGGTTTCGGATCGGAATTTCGTTGTTAGGGTAGCGAAGGATGATGTTCTTGATCTGGTTGTTCACCACCCATCGCCGATTGCGTGAGAGTGCCGATTCTAACTCCGGATCCTTCTTCATTGACCACAGAGAGAATGATCGGAGAAGCCATTGGGATTGTCGTTCAAATACCCTCAACTCGAGATGATGGCTATGGATTCTTCTTGTGATCATCGAAGAAACGAAAACGAACGGTGCCTGGTCATGAAATTGAAACTCCGTCGAAGCAAACCGTTTTATTCTTCAACACTGAACTTGGATTTTTCATGTGTTTTTTTTTTTTTTTTTCACGAAATTGAGTAATAAAATCTTTTTGACACTTTTTTTTATAATATTAACTAAAATTTATTTAAAATTATCAAAATTATGTAATTTTTATTCTTTAAATTAATTTTTTATTTCTATTTTTTTAATAAATTTTAGTTAACAATAAAGTGTGTAAATAATTGTGTTATTAATATTCCTCTTCTGTTTTCTCAGCCCGGCATCTGACCAGCTTTCTGTTTAGATAACTAATAGTGAAGATACCTATATGAGTAGCATGTGACACCAATAACATAATAAATTGACTAAATGTTTCATCCATTGTTCCTTTATAAACCGTTATTGCATAACACTAACTATTAATTGGTGAGGGAATTGTATAGACATTATATAAAATATGAATATTGTGCATAATTAATTCACAAAACTCTATACCCATCCGAATTTAGTGCATATTTTAAAAATTATTAACTTAAATATAAAATTCTTATAATTTATTAATAATATTCAAAAGAAAATGTTGTAAAGAATTGCTTGACATTGAATTGAATTAAACCAACTCAATGTGTAGTTGTGTAACTTGGAAGCCAATAAAAATTACACTATTTAGTTCTAAAAACCTAAATCCTACCGAAATAGCTCTGGACTGAGATTAGGTTATCAAAACCAAGATAGGTCTTAAAACACCCAATAGGCCAAAAATTTGAATTTAAAGAACTTCACATTTCAATGTTAAAACATGCTTTGTAACTTTTAAATAAAGATGGTTTTAAAAGGTGTCTAAATGATGAGTTTACATTGAAATAATTTAGTACTACAATGGTTAAGTATGAGTTGTGATATGTCATAAACCTTTTAAAAGCCTAAATCAGCTTGAAAGTGTATTTAAATGTTCAAATTACATAAAACCAGTTAAATAAATTAACAAATCCAACCTTTAAATAAGTACGTTTTGATCTCTCAAGTAGCGGGCAATGATCAGGGCCATAAGTTAACTTTAAATGTGTATTTACCATATCGAAAGCATCTTAAGTAAACAAAATCAAATTTAAAACTGGAACACTTGACACTAGTCTGTCTTGGAATATTCCATACGGCTGATGAAGTGAATTCAGAATTGACACAAAAAGAAAATTGACATTCTATTAATGATGCTCAAATATCACAAGGCCTAGAAATTTGGCTATTAAATAATAACAACTCAATGATCATTGATCAAGTCCAGGATATGGCTGAAAGCTTTTCTTATTCGAATTTCTTATCAAAATTGCAATGACCAGTACCAAAAATTGTCTGCGCTAAATACAGAACAATAGAAGTTCAGAAAAAAAGTGATAACAAGAAGCAATAAATAAAGAAAAAATGGAACCTAGGTAGCAAACGAAAACAACCAACCAAAATGCAACCAAAATGCAATACGACCTTTCTAGAATTAAAATGTAAGTGTGTCCTGAAAGCCTGAAATTTAATTTGTGGCACTTTCCACCTTTCTTTTATTATTACACTGTTCGGACCTGGATATTGTGAGTAGATTGGAACCTCCATATGGGTTGCCTGCCACTTTGTACAAGTGCTACTTCTTCTCCTGCTTTTACCATTCCTTGCTTCTGCATATGGAATCCAACATGTATGATCATTCAAAAAAATAAATGAATAAAATGGGAAATGATATGACAAGTTTCGGTTTAAGCATGTGAAAAAAATTATTCTATAGAAACAAAGTTAACATTACATTTGAAAACAATTGGACGCCCAACCATTGCTAGTTGCTGAGATAAAAATATGCACCCCTATAGTTTAGTTCTAATAGAAACAGTTGGCATTTCCGTTGGCAAGTGCAAGATGAAGCATTTGTTTATTACCATTAGCAAAAAAGTTCATATAAAGAATAGAGGTCCATGGTTAAAGTATTCCATGCCAATGCATGAATGACATAATTAAATGTTTAAATGTAGAACCAACCTTAAATAGTAATAAATAGTACGAGGGTAAGAGGAAAACTCTTCGAATTTTAAAACAATTCAAACAACTATTTTTTCCTTTTTTATCTTGTTAAAAGTACTCTGAACCTGGTTTTGACTTCTGTATGTAACATCTCAATAAATGAAGATATCCCTTCAAACATTACCTGCAGTAAATTCAAGGCTCTTGTGAACGTCTCTTCAGCATCTTCAGAGAATTCCATGTAAATAGGGCAGACTCCTTGATACAAAGCCAGCCTCTGTTGTATCCTCTTCCTGCATGGCCAGCAAAATTAGGTAATGGAGTTCAGTTGATTACAAACTTCAATATAAGAATCAGACTGATGGGTAAAAAGAGCCACATAAAACAGCTTCTGAAAAACCAGAAACGCCATGAATATTTAAAGTAGCTGATTCATTAGATATATCTGCCAAACCCTTAATTGTGTTTGGATGGAGAATTTTAAAATTCTAAGAAATATAAAATCAATAATGAGAGAGGTTTAAATGAGTCAAGTGTACAAGTTAAGCAATGTAGAGAGATTTTAAAATTCTCTCTAAAGATATGTCATTTGAAATTATTTCTATTAGACATAAAAATTATCTAGTTAAAATTCTACAATATTTTAAAACTATTTTTCCTTACTATCCAAATACATACAATGTAGAAACTTAATTACTCTATCCAAATGCAACCTTAGATTTTGGAAATAATATTTTATGACAGTACCAAAGAATCAGTTTTATTTGTTACCAAGAATAGACATCAAACGAAGAAAATGATAAAGCTAATAGTTAAGAGAAAATATCAGTACAACGTAATCCAATACATAGTGGGGAATCTCTTAGAAGTACTTAGCCACAGATGCAACTGGCTACTGATTAAATTAGTTTCATGTTTACCAAGTGTCTTTTATTTTTATTTTTAAAAGTTTTCTTATTAATAAAAAAAAAAAAACTCACTGATCTGTAAAAGCAAAGATGGTGCCAGAAGGTCGGTAGTGGCTCAAAAGGACAGCCATGAAGCCCGATCTAGTGAAGACAACTGTTGAGGTTCCAAGAGTATTAGACATCATCGTTGCATGGTAAGCAAACATCTCACTCATGTGGTTCTACATATAACAAAAACAAATAAATCACACTTCAGTACCAACACTAAAATGAGAACACAGTGACTAACGAAAAGTCAGAATGGCAATGAAATGAATTGAGTATCAATTTCAAACCTTGAATACTTGACCAACATTAGGTGGCATTTGGCCACCTGGTATAGTGGCTTCTGTCCGTAATGCTACAGTGTGCATTACTTTAACGGCTTTTAGTGGGAACCTGCATTATAATAATTTAACCATTATTTTTACATTTCATGAATGCTCTCACTTTAGATAGAATAGTCTTCTAAGTCACCAAGATGCTACTGACACTAATAAGAATAGATATTGATACTCAAGCCAGTAAAATCTCAGTATCTACTATCATATGTACATGTCATTAAAACCTAAGTTTTTAAGGCAACACCAATTTGATTTGTGATATTTCCGTTCCTTTGTAAGAACTAAAATAATTGAAATGTCAACTTGTTAAGGTAATTGGTCACTTTGACGCATGAAATTATTTACTTACTTTCCATGAGCAGTTTCTCCAGAAAGCATTATTGCATCAGAACCTTCTCGAACAGCAATTGCAATATCCGATACCTCTGCTCTGGTTGGTGTTGGGTGAACAATCATGCTTTCCAACATATTTGTTGCCACAATAACAGCCTTTCCCATGCTACGACATATCCTGATTATCTCTTCCTACATTAGCAGGCATTATGGATTTTAAGCACTGAAATTTATGTCCAGTTATGGAAGAGATACTGATAATTATCTTTACCATTAATCTTGGTTCCTGTTTAAAAGAACTATACCTGCAAAAGTGGAACCTCTTCAATAGGGAGCTCAGCACCAAGATCTCCTCTTGCAACCATAGCCTAAACAGGATGGCAAAAGTAGACAAGTCAATTTCAACAATCAGTAAACAAGTTCTCCTAAAACTTAATCCATAACTTCCAAGAAAAATAAATTCAATATTTAAAAGGCTTAGATTAGCACCCCATCAGACGCTGTAATAATTGAATGCAAGTTCGGTATAGAGTCTGCACTTTCAATTTTTACAATGACATGTATATCAGCATCACAGCCTGCAGTATTGAGTGGAAAATTTATCATATTACTAAATAAGAAGATAAATTAATCAAGGACCAATAAAAAAAATTACAGGTATCTTGAATATTTACTTTTCAAATAATTCTTCAGTTCATGAACTACTTGTGCATCTTTAACAAAGGAAACAGCATAGAAGTCAACTTTGTTATCCACTCCAAATTTGATGTCATCCCAATCCTTCTCTGTAGCAAATCAACACAAATATTATGATTATGTCCTTGGGAAATTGACATGACCTCATTCCTCACCCACACATGGAGAGGCATGTAGGTAGAGATAGATCAAGAAAAAAAAAAAAGGAATAATAATACAAAATCTAACCAGTAATGGAAGGCAGTGTTGCACTTTTCCCTCTAACATTCAGATGTCTCCTTGACTTAAGCTCTCCTCCATCAACAACTTCACATTTCACAGAATCCTGTGTCTTAGACTTAACCATCAAAGACATCATACCACCTACATCATAGGCAATAGCATACATAAAAAACCAGTGCTGACTCTTTCTGAGATAAATAGGAAATTGAACATAATGTCCAACAATAATAATGTTAAACATTTACACACATTATGTAGAAAGTTGTCTCTTGTATATCATATTCTTCTCTAGAAAAAACATAGACGATACATCTTCTAACAGTTTGGTTGGTTGTTTGGTTGTCCAAAACATGTAATATAATTAATGATTTATAGATTTAACAGTAGCTTGCAACTCTGCATAAGTAAGGATGAAAAATGGAATAACAGGATTGACGTAAAAAAAAAAAATAGCAACGTAAAGTAGACATAAAGATGCAGTGACGTTGATAAAATAAAAAAAAATTAGTCATGTTCGGGAAAACACAAACAGATCAAAATGCATATACAAGTTAAAATATATTTTCACTTAAACATCATCATGCCACACTTCCTTGGGAGACACATCCCTTCGATCACATTTTTTTCTTTTTTTTTTGAGACAAGGAGACTTGCCCTCATTGCAGTACACAAAAAAGGTTAAAAAGTAACACATAAGAATAAATAATCCCATGTTTGTCAATTTATCAATCCACGAACATAGCACCAATTGTTAGTAATTTGAAAATTTTAACCGGTCAGCTGGTTGCCGTACCATCAACAAGAAGCATGTCCCCCACTTCCACATCATTGACAAAATCATCATAGTTAACGCTAACACAATCTGCAGTTCCAACACCTCTCCGGATGGTAAAAGTGAACTCCTGCCCACTTGTTAAATTGATTGGTTGCGGCAAATCCCCGCTCCTAACCTCAGGACCCTGAAAACACAAAAATGAATCACCAGCTGACACAAACAAAACTTTGATCATGTAAACAAATACAACATGAACAGTGTCCTTTAAAAAAAATGCAAAATCATGAAGAATGAACTTAATTACCTTGGTGTCAAGCATAATTGCAATTACATTGTCCTTGGATTGAGCATTATATTCTTTAACCAAATCAATCACTTTCTGGTGAGAAGCATGATCTCCGTGAGACATGTTCAAACGAGCAACATTCATTCCAGCCTCAGCCAGCTTCCAAATCATTTCCCTGGTGTTGGTAGAAGGACCAATGGTACAAACAATCTTTGTCTTTCTCCTAAACGTGGGCTTAGACCACATTCCAACAGAAGTGTCACCAAGTTGCTGCATGCCGCGCAAGTGCTGCAACTCCTCCTCAATCTATTATTCACCACAACACGAAAAGGGTTACAACAATTTTTCAACACCTCACTCACTTCCATTTTTAGCAACTGGGTCCTTCCCAAAATATCAAATTTTCTAACACCCCCATCATATTTTTCTTAGTAACCAAGTAAGAGAGGGAAAATTGCAGTGATAAACAGGGAAAGCACGAACCTTTGAATCATCCTCGGGTGACACAGGGACAACTTCAGTGGGTGCAGATTTCCTTGCATAGATGAGGCAACTTCTGGAGCAAACTTTGGAGGGGTTGTTCATTTGTGAGGGGAACAGTTTGGAAGCAAAAGTTGGAGGCTTTAACAACGTTTGAGCCCTGTCGTGTGCATATCCTGCGGTGGGGCGCGGGAGGGAGGTGTGAATGGATCGAGTGGCCACTACCTGAGACATTGTTGCAGAGAGAAAGAGAATGGGATGAGGTGTGATGTGAAGAACAGAAAGAAGGAGAAGAGGGTGTGAGGTTCAGGAGAAGAAGATGAAATTGAAGGCTTGGAGAAATCGCCGTTTTGTTCGGCCAATGTCAGGTTTATGACACAAATATAAAGTGAAGAAATCGGAGGTTTAACACAAACACGATATCGCTTCGTTTGTATCGAACCAACCAAACTAACGTTGTTGTGCTGCTTTAAAGCTTTTGTAGACTAGTAGTTGAAAGCTGTGGGATGTCAATCACGACGTCGTTTTGCATTCTGGAGTTTTTACTGTTTTATCCTTTTCCATTTTTAAAAAATAAACTTAGAAAAATAACATAGTAATTATCTTCCTTGTGCATGAAGTACATTTCACAATTTTATAGAAATGGTGATTTTCTTGTTCAAAAAATATTTTAATAAAGTTAAAACAAACATTTTTTTTTATTAAGAATACGGAATAAAATAAACAGAGTGTAATATATTAACGTTTTATTTGATAATAAGCTTATATAAAAATATATTTAGGTAAATAATTAATTAAATATTTGTAAATTTAATTTTGAATCTTATTGAAATAAGTTTAAAATATAGAAAATGATCTATAAATTGAAATTATGTGAATTTAAATTAATTATAAGAGGTATTATTTCAACAATTGTTTATATGTATAGTTGATTTTAATTTTTTTAATAAAATAATTTATTTATACTATGTTAAAAAAAAGATTATTATATGATAAACTGCTGAAAAATATACGTGTATGTGTGTGTATTTTTTTAGATCGAATGCATAATTTTTGTATCACTTCAAGGTAATGTGAAAATTAAAAATAAAATGAATATTATTTATAATCATTGTTCAACTTTTAGTATAATCGAAATATTTCTTAAGGTCACAACATTTGATGTGTATACATACTAGAGACAAATAAAACGAAAAATAAAAGACAAATAACAAGAAAATGAGAGATGTTAAATAACCATTAATATTAAAGTATTTATAAATTTAAGTTGTTAACTCCAAAGTAAAATTTTAAAAAAATAATAAATGTTCAATATATATTTCTTAACAAGTGTAAATATAATTCAAAAGTGCTTTTCAACAGTAATGTATGTATATATATAATAATAAAAAAAATAAAAAAATGCAAATAAAATATAAAGTAAATTGTGAGAATATTTAGAACTGTATTTGTATTGCACCATCACATTGACAGCTCATTTGAAAGACCCGAGATCGAAACTAAACGACATCGTTTTAGGGTCCTCTAGCCCTGCCTGGAAAAGCGCGGGAAGATTTTCCGCCATTCTTCAACTGAACTCGCACCTCATTTTAAGTCCCAAAACTCCACACTCTCTCGAATTCCGTCACCGAAATAAGGCAATTTTCTCTGGTTCCCACAGCAACATGGACACCGAGGGGTTATCCCTAATCTGTGCCGGTCTCGGAACCGTCGAAGAGGACCTTCAAAACAACCGAATCGGTTACACGAAGGGCGAATACTGTCTTGGTGTGTGTGTCTCTCTCTCCTTTCCGATTCCCCCCCCCCCTTTTTTTTTTCAAATTCAATTCGGTTTAAATTTTCGATTCCTCATTGATCACATTCGTCACCGACTTACTAGATAACCTGAAAGACTTGCTGAGATTTCTGAGGCGCGACGACCCCCAAACGCGCGATGTGTTTAAACAAGTTTGCAAGTGGAATATTGTTTCCAAGGACTTGATACCTATCATTGAGTATTACCACGAAGATCGCAACCTTCTTTTGAATGCAGGTTTTTTTTATTTTATTTTTTAATCTTCTTTTCATTTCATGATTTTGCATAAATAATGTTGATGGATGCGTGTTTGGGATTTGAGTTATTTATTTATTTATTTCAGTTAAGGTTTTGGTGTTTCTTACAATGCCGATCGAGCCTTCGTCGACTGATATTCCTCAGCAGTTGGAGTATTTGTGGGGTTTGAAGTCTGCAGTGACGAACAGTGATGTTGCTGCAGTGATCGTTTCGTTTCTAGAAAGACCACTTGAGAATTTGGAGCAGTGAGTGGCGTTGAACTGTTGATTAGGAATGGAAATAAAAAGTTGAAAACTTCACTTATTTTGTGTTGGTATTTTTTTATTGTTTGTCTACAGTGATGCGTTCAGTGAGGATGATTGGAAATTGGTGCAGCTAGTGCTTACATTATTTAGAAATATCCTAGCTGTTCAAGAAATTCCGTTGCCGCACAAGTCGGGGGGATTAGCTAGTCAGTTTTTATCGCTGAGAGACAGATTTCTGGAACTTTTGTTCCGAGAGAATGTAATGGATATAATCTTGGTTATATCTCAGTATGTTGGCGGTTCTAATGTTTATCTTCGTCAGGATAACTTGCTTCTACTGGAAATTTTCCATTGCATTTTTATGGGTCAGGACCCGGAGTTAATTGTTAAGGGGCATTTGAAAGGATCAAAGGTGAGCCCTCTTAACCAATGTCTTTTTTTGCCAAGCTGACAAGAAGCACCCTATTGATTTAGAGCATTCTTACTCGGATGTTCTTCGCTACCACTCTAGTGCTGTTATATCTTATTCTTCGGTTAAATTTTTGTTTGGTCAATTACATTTTGTAAAGTTCATTTTAGGCAGATGAAGACCCTCAAGCTTCTCTTAGTAGTCTGCAATCCATTATTGAGGAGGAAAAGAAGAGAAGAAATACTTGTAGGCTTGGCAATATAAGTCGACATTCGCAATTTAGTGGCACATTTGCACGGCTTACCATGGTACTATTTTTTACGCTACTGATTAGTTTTTATCATAGTAGACTTGAGTGACAATGGTTGACTCCTTTTGATAGGATGGTTCTAAGGCAGTTTTTAAGGGAAATCCTAATCCTTCTCATAATGTGCTGCTCAAATCACTAAACCTCACTCGGGGTCCTGCCAAAAAAATTGCATGGGATCATCCAAGGTTGCCTTCAACAAAGGATAAGATATTGGAGTTGCTTCATGGATTTGTTAATCAGTTTCTTTCTGGTGGATACAATGGTATATGATTTTTCAGATTAAACTGTATCACTTGCACTGTATATTTTTCTTCTTTTGATTTCCAATTTTAAAGCTAAAAAAATCTCATTGTAATTTGAACCTGTATCAGTTTTGATGAGATCTGTTCGTGAAGATATAGAAAAGGAACATCCTGCAATACAAAAAAGTGATGTTGTTGTTTTCTTTCAAGTGGCTGAATTTGTCACTTCATTTCAGTTTTACCAGCATTCAGCGTCTAAGGTGAGAATGATAATTGCATACATCTTGGCATACTTTTCTTTGGTCCTTTTTCAAGTTGAAATACTTAATGTTGTCCCTTGGTTTGAGATATTAAAAGAATTTTTTTAAGATATTCATGATTTTGATTAAAAAATAATTATGATTCATTTAAATATTGGAATCATATAGATTATATCCATACATATTCAGTTTTCTAATTACTTATCATCTAGTAAGTGTAATGAATTTTTAATTCGATTAACCAAGTAAGTGCAATTCTTGCAGCATGTTGACCCAAACTTTTCATATAATGATAGTTTGTAGGCCTTATAGTTTCTGAATAACACTAGCTACTATTTTTGTATAACACAAGGGGCAACAGCAACGCAAGTAGAATTTAAAAATGGCCTACTCACATTTGAGTCTCCAAATTCACTGATTTCTTTAAAATGACCGCTAGCAGAATATAGAGCATAGACTGCTGAACAAATTACTTTGCATGCTGAAGTGAAAATGCTTTACATAATGTAAATTAAGCTTCAGCAACATTTCATACGGTGCAATTATTGTCAGTTTTTGTCAGTCGTAGTTGTGTAATTGAAGGAGAAATTAGTGTACCATCATGCCACGTGTTTGTTAGAACTTAGAAATAACATGTTGATTGCCTAAATACAGGCTTGTAAAGATAAACCAAATTCATTGGCTTTTACAATGTTCTTTTTTTCCTAATCTAGTGACTATGTCCTTCTGATTGAAAAAAAAAAAAAAAAGAGCCACAATTTGTTATGTAACGCAAATCACAGAGAGTTATCATTGGTTTGCATTTTCTGATGATTATTGTGCCATTGTAAATGTATTTGAATCTTGAAAGGGCAGAAAGTAGTTGGTTAGAATACTTTATAGAAGTGAAGTAGTGGAACAGTTAAAGTTGTGAGGTGTAGGGAATTAGCTTAAATAGTAGGAGAGGGTAAAAAAGAGGTATTCAAATTTCTTAGTATTAGAAACAGACTAACAGAGTTGTGGTTCAATCCTTAGGTGGAACACTCATTTTTTCTGTAAAGATTCCACTACCAATAATAGTCTATTTGTTCTTTCTCTCTTCCAGACTCGTTGAGCTCTCTCAATCTCTCTCACTCATGGGATCCTAACAAATTCTTGGAATGCAATAATACCCCATGTTTAGTGATGTAACATGGAAGTAACTTAGGAAAAATGACTTGAATTTCTTTTGATCAGGAGCTTTATGCCCTTGTTTTATGTACATTTACTGCTACACGGACTATTGTTTTAGATTTCTTTTTCTGAGTTTTATATTAAATATTAGTTGCATTTGTAGGCTACATGTGACTATATGCCCTGACTTAATTTGAATAAGTAGATTACAGGTGCCTGTATGTTCTGTTGTCTCAAAATATATGCCCGTTATTATCAAACTACTTGGTATTGCCAAGGACACATTTGATACTCTATAATTTTAAAAGGTTATAAGAAAGAAAAATTTTATCTTTTTTTTTTTACTGATACTGAATAAACTTTAAATGAAAAGTTAACTGTTATGCACCTTGCTTCTTTTGCTAACAAGTTGCCAATGTGATTGCTCCAATAAAGAGGGGAAGAGTAGTTGGCTCCCCTTAGGTTTAGTGTGTGATACATTAAAAAATTCCGATTATATCTTAATATAATTATGCAACATCTTGTGCTATAGTTTAAGTTATACCTGTCATATGCGTTTCCAATGAAGGTTTGTATTGATAGCTTTTGCTGGCCATTGATATTAGAGTTCATTAAGTTGAATATGAAATAGTTCATCATTATTCATGTGGTATGATTAGGTTTTTACAAAAGAAGAATTTTGGCTGAAAAAAAGGAATTCAACAGGATGAAATTAGAAAGTAAATAATAGCATCTCTTGCGCTCATAGTTTGAGGTATCACTTGCTACTTGATTTGCAAATTGAGTACCTGTCATTTTTCAATCTGCAATTGTGAAAATTGGTCACTCTTATGTTCTCTTCTTATTAAGGTCAATGACGGATGGGACACATTTGAGACTTTTGGGGATAAAGATGCAGATACTTCAGATTTCAGTGGTCAAATATGTGGCCCAATTGCAGCATCCTTGAATGAGTCAATGTTTCAATTGGTCATTTCAAAATGGCGGCATGCCTATGATGGTCTAAAGGAAACAAATGACTACCAGTTTCTATCTGCAGCTGGTTCTCTTTTGAAAAACATGGTAATATGCACTATCAAATCTCAATATATTTTGCTATGTTTTGTTTATTTAGAATTTTGCATATGTCCTTACATTGTGTGGTGCAATTTGACAATTTTCTGTTATCTTTCTTTTATATCTATGCTCTCATTTTTAAACAAGATGTCTAGATACCACGAATATATCTTACAGATAGTCTACTGCTCCACTTCAATAAACAATTTTCTTGTCAATCTCTTCTCATTCCATTTTTGTTTGCCTTCCATGTCTTCCAGTTTGCTTTATTATTGTTTTGGTTAATTTTACAAATTATGGCCTTCCCCTACTACATTAAGTTGAACATAGGAATGACACTGGCAAGAATTCTGGCTATTGGCATAATCTCTTTAAATGTTTCCTAATTCCCTTTCTTTATTTTTCAGATTCGCATGCTGGATTTGATACTTAAATTGTTGCCAGAAGACTCAAAGGAGCCACAAACAGCTCGCATCCTTCTTTACAAGTTATTTTATGATCAGACTGAGGAAGGGATGACTCAGTTCCTGTTGAATTTGATGAAAACGTTTGACACCCACAAACAACCCAAAAGGTTTGACATCTGTATCTTAATAAAGGAAAACTTCACATTCTTAGTCATGACTCATGATCATAAATGGACTTCATTTTTCATGCTTTAAACTCATTTTAGCAGCCTCTCAGATCTAGGATGGTTGAAAATCTATTCAAAGTACATCTATGATAGATTACTAGATATGTCTTCTTGGTTCATACAAAAGATAAGCATAACATACTCTGGTGTACGAGTGTTAATTGTTACAAAACTAGGGCAGGTAAGCTGCATTGTGATAGCTAGTAGAACATAGTTTCTTTCCAATCAAATAAACCTTCTCCTTGATAATCAACTTAAACAGTTTACACTTCTCAATTAGAATGCATTGTGTACAATTTTCTGTGATGAAAGATATCCAAGTGTTGTCACTAGTCGTATGAGGGTCCAATGATGACAGTGATTTTATACATATTTTTGTTGTGCTTGTTTCCTGTCAGTGATCTTGCAGATTTGGTAGAAATCATTCACAAGGTTGTAAAGCTGATGGATAACCTTCAGTCTCGAGGAGCATTGAGGGTAAGCTGAAATTACATGCTTGTTTGGTCTATAAATATACAACTGTTGAGAGTTGATTAAATCTTTGAAAAACAATACTGAGATCTAGAACAAGCAAGGCAAGCTGCCTGATACCATTTTTTCCACATATATTTATCAATTCAACTTCTTATGCAATATGCTGCTTGTTCATAGTGATTTTGATTTCACACTTAAGTAATAACTATGCTTCCATTGACCTTGTTAGAGAAGTAATAAGTCATTAACCTTTTAGGATAGGTGGTCCTTGCTGTTATTTATTATGAAATTTATATAGATATGTAAACAATCTTACAGTTACCTTTTAATTACCCTCTTTGAAATTAATGTTTGGTCATTGGTGTTCCCAGCTCTGCTACAGGTGTATTTTCTGATATTTTAATATTTTAATCCTTTTCTCTAATCCCTACTTCATATCTTATAAATTCAAGGTGTCTCGAAAATTGAGGAAGGCAAAAAAAAAGAAATTTCCAGAAGGAACAGAATCAGGGGACAAACCAACTGAAGTTAATTCTTGCTTTCAAAATGAAACTGGTGACAAACCCACCGAAGATCATTCTTGCATTCAAAATGAAACTGGCACTCAATTAGCAGAAAATCAGCCCCTGCAGGAATACACGGCAAATGCAAATTCCACCAGGGAGGATGTCCCTGATGATAACGAACATGAAAATAATGTTGAGGAAGATGGTAACTCCCAAGTTGGTTTAGAACAAATGGAAACCACAAATTCTAAACATGCTAACAATGATATGTTGGATGGAACTGGTGATTTTTCCGAAGATGAGCAACTAAATGCAATTAATGAAGTTGATTTCAAGGTTTCATCATTGGTCTCTGCCTTTGCAAATCACAGCCTCATTCAAAAATTATGTTGGTTGCTCAAGTTTTATAAGAGCAATTCCCTTGCTACAAATCATTACATAATAAGCATGTTGCGGAGAATAAGTGATGACCTTGAACTCCATCCAATGCTTTACCAGGTTAGCTTTTCATCTTAAATGAGGTTGTGTCGTTTTTGAAAGTGAATATCATATATTAATTGTTATTGTTGACATATTCTTACAGTTGTCACTGCTCACAATTTTTTATGACATCCTGGTTGAACAAAAGTCATGTCCCTGCAAGGAATATGCAGATATAGTTGATTTCCTAACTTGTTTGGTTAGAAAGATGCTAAAGAAAATGAAAAAGCAACCACTCTTGTTTGTGGAAGTCCTTTTCTGGAAGTCCCGTAGGGAATGCCATTACATCAATGCTGAATATTTGTTAAATGAGCTTGGTCATTTGAGGAAAGAAAGTATAAATTGGAACAACACTCAAGGAGATGGAGGAATTGGTTCATCCCCAGGGAAGGCATGGACTCGTAGAAGCATAGCTGATGCACTTGGTGAGGATGAAGCTGATGTTGTGATCACTCATGACTCAGGCTTTCAAGAGTAAGATAACGTTCTCAAACTCTGCCTGAAGCTTCTTATGTGAGATTTTCTACTTTCTTTGGCTTTTGGAAAAATTTTGGCAACACTGAGATAACATTTTTTAGAATGTAGGACCAATTTTCAATTTTATGTTTGATTGGTTCATAAATATTCATGATCAAAGCTAGATACTGCAAAGAATTAGCTGCAATTTTTTATTTTATTTTTGTTTCTTTCAGCTATAGAGACAAGCTTGATGATGTTATTGAAGGCTTCACATCTACCTCAAGCAGTGATGATGGCAAAGATGATCGCAAGTATGTTTACAACTTGAGATCAAATTCTAGTTGAGATTTTATAGTTTCTGATACTGGGTTCACTTGGACATAACAGTGAGGAGCAATTGATGGAAGATGAATCTCGTATAGCTCCAAGGAGAAAGAAAAAACTTGTTCTTGATGGTGATATGGAGAGACAGATTAAGGATCTCTATGAGAAGTAGGTTTAACCTGATCAAAATTTATTTTCTGGAATGTGGAGCATAATTTAAATTAGAGCCTTGTCAATAAGAAATTTTGTTTATTTAAGACACCATTAGTGGAAACGTACATATAGTAGTCACCATGATAAATTGATCATAGCTTTTCAATCTCGTTTCTCTCTTGCTTGTAAGATTTAGCCTTTGTTTTCATCCATGGTTCTTTCTTGCTTCAAATACCCTAGATTCAAAGATGATCGACATTGCAGTCGTTGTATCGCTGAAGTCATAGATCCAGATGGTAAAATTTCACCAGCTCAAATTTCCAATATATTAAAAAAATTAGGACTCAGAGTTGTGCCTATGAAAAAGATGGTTGATGCTGAAGGATCTTTGTCGACTACCCCTAATCAGTTAGAGGGTGATGGAGTAGCAGGAGTTACTAATCATAAATCGGAGGGAAGTCTGTCAGTTCAGCACCTGTAAGTTTATACTGAATTTTTATGCTTATTATGTATTACTGGTATTATTTTTCCAGTAAATTTATGTTTCCTCCTGCAAATGAAATGTTCTGTCATTATTGTTCATACTAATTCAACAATTTTCTTTAATACAATTTAATGGATTAAATATGTTTAGGTGTTTTCTGAGTTTGTGTTCAATTTCATATTTATAGGCAGAAAAGGAAGAGGGTTCAAGCTTTCAATGAAGATCAGGAAGCTCTGATCAAAGTTCTATATGAGCAGTAAGTGACACATAACTTGGTTGCTTCACTTGCTTGGTTGAAGATTGTATTTGATCTCTCTGCTTTTTTCTTGGTGACTTCTGAACAAATAGTTAAATAAGATCGTCCTAGGTTTTTTGAATTTTATATTTTATTTTGCATGCGATGACAAATAACACGAGAATTTAGCTTTTGATTGTGCTAACATCTGGGCTGTTACTTCTGCAGATTCAAGGACCATAGAAGATGTAGCTACATGATAGCTAATGCACTGGATGTGGATGGTAAATTCACTCCTGCCCAAGTCTCTCGAAAACTTAAGCAGCTTGGTTTATGTAATCCTCGGAAGAAGAGTTTTGAAGGCAAAATGCACCCAAAGGGTGAAGATCTCATGGATTGTTCAAAAGATAGAATGAGTGAATCTGATGATGAGCCATTGATATCGTTGGTTGAAAGGTAATTTTGTGTTTGATCTGTAGTTTTACAAAGCTGGGACATTAATACTTCTGTCTTTTTAAATAATATTCACTCATTGGCATGCTTAACTTCTTCAAAAATGTCATCTAACCATTTTTTATTAGAGATAGTTTTAAATTTTATACATAAATATATTCTTCAGCTGAATTTCATTACTTTGCCTAGTGCAACTTTATTGTGCTGCCCAGCTGGATGAGTCTACTGTTTCCTCCCATCAACTATTGTTTAATGTTTATTTAATTTTAGGAAAAAAATGGAAAATATCAAGGTATCAAGGGAACAGTCACATGGACAAACCGGTGAGGATATATTGTCAAAAGATGATTCTGATGAAGAAATGCTCAGTTCTGTTCTCAAGTAATGCTCCTTTGTCTTTCCTCTTCTAGGACCACTAGTTTACTGATCAATGATAGGACCATAAATGTTTATGTCAGGAATTTTTTTGATTTGGTGATTGTCCTTGTTCCTGTTTCTATCTGCATTGACTTGGAATATATGATGAACTTGTCTGGCAATTTTATTTTATTCAGAATTAAATATCATTTATTTACTTTAGGAAAAAAAGGAACAGCAGAGTATCAACTGAACAGTTACTTGAATACTCCAGTGGTGATACATTGTTGAGAGATGATTCAGACGATGTCAAGATCAGCTCTTCTCTCAAGTAAATATTCTATATTTTCACTTTTCTTTTCATGGATATTGTTGATAAATGATAAGACCGTAAATGTGTATATCGGGAACTGAGTCTGAGCCGTTGATTTTTTAGCTTCTCCATCCGCTCTGACTTGAAAAATATTACTATTAATTTTTCCCTTTCGACATGCTTGTTCTGTTGGCAATTACAATAATAATGTTCTTTTTATTTTCACTCCTTTGTTGACTCTGAACCAACATAAGGTGCTGTTATCATACCTTTTAACTTATTATGTATTTTAAGTGGCAAAGTAAGAGGGTTTTAGATAAAGTTATTTCTATTAGGCTGGCCTTTAGGCAATGCTAGAGATTTTACACGATCGATAATCACTTGATCATTGTCTGAATGGGGATAAAAACTGATAAATTCATTTGGTAAGAAGGTTAAAGTGACATTCTCTCCAAAAACTTATAGTACAAAGAAGAATAAGGTACAAATGAAACTTGAAAGATTGGCAAAGTAAATTGTGGAGTGCGTAAAGGATTTAGAAGGCTTAAAGGTTATTTTATTGAAGATGTCTTCTTTGCTGAAGCAAAAGGGAGTATTGTTTTGTGTTTCTTCTTGTTTTAGTTTCCCCTTTTGTTGTGGGTGTTTTGTGGAAGAGAAAGAATGGACTAGAAAAGTGTTTGGTTGGAGGAAGAGAGTAAGTAGTGAAGACTGCTAGGAGAGCTTTGAAGATTTTTATTTGAAGCCAAAATCTTTTGGGGGCAATGGCAGCGTGAATCTTTGGATGACCATATCACTAGTTTAGCCTATTATTTGAAGGGAAATCTGGTTATAATGTTTGTTACGTTTGTATGCAAGGAAAGATTCCTTTTTCTTTTATTTCTTAAATCAATTATCCATTGACTATGAATCTTGTGATTTAAGTTGCTGTCATGTGTTGACCCCGTTCATACCAGATTTAATTTTGTCTGTATTTGTATTTTGGGGACAACTTTTGGATGTAGGAGAACTAGAAGATCCTTTCTTAAATCAAAACATGTTGAGCTTGAAAACATCCGAGTACAGGAGAGAATGATGAGCAATGAATCTTTTAATGGAGGCATGAAAGAGGTTTTGGAAAGGTACGCTGTTTAACTGCAGAATTATTGTTTTTGGTAATAGACTAATAGAACGCTTTTATCACCTAGTAGGAAAAGGCTTTTTTTGTTGCAATAGCACACTTTTGCTAGTTTGATTATTTAGGCTGACAACTGAGTTCAATGAGTTTTAACGTTCCTGGATATTTACTGTTAAATTGTAGAAACATTTATAGTTCTTCAGATGTAAATAGGAATCAATGGATGCTTATGCCAAATTAAACAGAACAATCGGCTTTATGCAAATGAAGAGCAATCTACTTGTTTCCTATTCAACAGTCTGCTATACAGAACATAGCTTATTACTATCTTTTTAAAAAATAAAAAAATTAGTGGGGTCATTCATGTTGTGTCTGAATAAAAGATGGCCAAATTCGATAGAATATATTCTGCCAATATTTTCACATACGACATAACGCAGTATCGTTGATAGAGCAATTTGAGCTTAAGAATATACGGATACAGTTTATTTGAGCCTTTTTTTAAGGTCGAAGTTGATTTATTGGGTGGCTGACTTAAATTTGCTTTGGCAGTGAAAATCAGGTTGGTTTCTTGAACTCCTACCAAATAGAACATCAGCAAGTGGATGACTTGGCAGACTCAGAGGATGAAGTGGCTGTTAGTGCATTTCCTGACAGAGCCGTATCCAGAAGGAAGCTGAGAATGGTGATTGATCCGGAGGATGATGACTAAGGGGAAAGCGTGATTAAGGTCCAGTTTCTTATGTATTTTTACAAATATTGTATACTAAACTGATACTATTTAAAGATTGTATCATGTGTGTATACTCATTTTTGGTTGTAACTGTTTAAACAATACATCATCTCTATAAAAGTCACGCGGTCACTTTTAAAACATTGAAGTTTGTAAACTCATTACTACAGACTTAGCACATGCATTTTTACCTTTTGATTTAACAGATACAATACTGCGTAGCCTCTTCCAAATTTCTGTTGGTCCTGAGGATGCAGGCAGAATGATATGGTTACAAATTCTTTTTCCTGATATCTCTCTCCTATGTGAATCTTATCACTTAACCATCATACACGTACATATGCTTGTCAGATTGATCCTTAGGAAGGAGTGGAATTTGTGACCTATATGAGTTGAAGATCAATGAAGCATCTAGATGTTTCGGAAAATTTCCAAAACTAAATTGAGATATTTGTTCAAGTCATGACTGATCCAGAGTAGCTTAGGGACGTACATGTGGTACTTGACTATTTGAGGAGCCTTGAACAGGACATATGAATGTGATTTAGAGTGCAACCATTTTAAGTGTCGAAATTTATAAATAAATCAAAAGGGGTAGCACGGACGGGGATGTGATATCTGCTTAAGTGGAAAGGTTAATAAATATAATCTTGTTTAGTTCAACTTTTAAATAAATTTTTATAAAAAATTATTATAAAAAATAATAAAACTTATTTTATAAGTTAAAAATAACTTACAATTTTTATTTAATTTCTTTAAGATTTAAAAAGATAAATTGTTTCTAATTTATAAGAGATAAGAGATGTTTTATTAATTTTTTTATTAGAATTTTTCTAGAAGTTTAATCAAAATAAAATTTATGAATAAGTTATTGAAAGAGAAAAAAAAATAATATAAGAAATAAATAAAACTTTTTTTATAAATTAAAAATAACTTATCTCTTTAATTCTTTTTTTTAAAAAATTAATTTATGAAAATTTTTAATTAATTTTTTTATTAATTTTCTTTTACATGTACTTATCCAAAAATTTATCCAAGCAAGTCCTCAGTCATGTTCAAAATACAATTTGCCTTATATGTGTGAACAATTTATAATATAATTTCTAGTGAATTTCAATTGTCATAAATATTTGTAATAGTTAAAAATTAGTTATTATATTAACAATTATGACATTTATTCTTGTAAAGTAAATAAAAAATGTCACATTTTATTTTTTTTTAATTTTTTTAAATTACTCTTTTTATTTATGAAAATTAATATTATTAAATAATTTTATTTTTCTCAAAATAATAATCATTTCATAATTTTAAAATATTTTTTAATTTTACTTTAAAAATAATTGTTATCTCAAACATATTTTTTATCTTATTTTTTATTCATTTATTGCATAATATAGGAAATTATATAAAGACTAGTATAATAAAAAAAAATTGATAATATTTTATATAAAAATAAGATAATTAAATTCATTCTGCTAACTGTTTTAAAAAGTATACGTTTGGTGGATCATTTCCAAAAGAGATTATCCCATTAAGTAAAAAAGCTTTCTTTGTCATTTTTCCTAAACTGTGTATTGACCTGCTTTTACTGTCCACCCTCCATACTTCTTTCGTAGTTCTGTGGACTCCATTGGACCCATCAAGCTTAAATTTTGAAACTTATTAGTCATTGACTTGGTAATCACAAAATTTAAGAAGTGAAATTGACTCTCACCTACCAAAATTTTATTTATTATTATTATTATCCATGGAAAAACTCATTATATTGCTTTCGAATTTGACCATAGATCTAAAATATTCTACCAGGCTTTCATGACCTTGCGATTTCCCGTACTTGTCTCATCTAATCTACTCGTAGTACTTTCATCACTCATATAGCTTGAGGTATATAAAAGATCTTATATTGTTTGCTAATTTGGACATGATAAAAAGTTTAAAAAATATTACACTTATAATAAAAGTATAAAAATTAATTAATACTTACTGATTTTAGTTTAAAATATTTAATAAATATATTTAATGTTTACATCATCTATATATTCTTTTTCATTAGTATATGGTATTTTTAATTTTTTTTCGTGTTTGTTCATTGATAAACCAATAAAAAAATATAATTCAAACAGATTAAGTCTAGAGAATTAAAAAATAACTTAATATGTAAAATAAAAAAACTAGATATAGGAATGAGTAAGTTGACAGATGAATTTTCTATATAAGTTTACATAATTTTTAAATTGGATATACAGATCAACATAAAATCAATTATACGTGGAAATTCAAGATATAGACAGTTTTTCCCAAAGTGAGTGACACTTCTCCATTTTTATGTTAAGTTTAAATCTTTAATTTAAATTAAGAAAATAGATTCCTTTTATCCAAATAAGGATAGCTGATATAATTTTCAACCCCATTAATTGCATATCCCCTTGAAGAGATCATTGGATTTCCATAATGTCTGCATTTAATGGATGACTTATATAAATATTTACTTATAAATGATGGTAGCGCCTTACCATCATAACCCATCTTCTTGAATGATCATGGATACTCCTACCTCAAATATTAGATTTGTTATGCTTTGCTTATTGTGTAAAATGATGTTCAACTCCATTATGTGCACTTTGAAGGTTCATTGCAACGAGAAGGACATGAATGTGCTCTTACACTTCAAACAAGGAGTCATAGTTCCTTCAGGCTTGCTATCCTCATGGAACATTGAACTAGTTTTCTGTCTTTGGAAAGGAGTTAAATGCAATAATATCACAGGTTTTACAGAACTCAATCTCCCTTGTCATATGAACCACCCCACAGTTTCTCTTTCTATTGGAGAGATATTCGACAATAAATCACACTCTGCCTCACAGTGAATTCAAGTTATCTTTGTTGGAACTTGAATTTTTAAGTTACTTGAATTTGAGCAACAATAACTTCAATACTATACAATATAATTCAATTGGTAGCCAGAAATGTATGACTTATAAATAGGTACACCTCCCCATCACTGTGGAAACTCCTCCAACCTCCATTATCTTGATTTATCATATAACCAAGATATTTTAATTGATAATCTTAATTGGATTTTCCGTCTTTCTTCATTGCAATATCTTAATCTTTGTGGTGTTCATTCTCCCAAGGAAATTGATTGGCTTCAGTCAGTGACCATGCTCCCTTCACTTCAAGAGTTACACTTGGAGGGTTGTCAACTTGAAAACCTCTATCCATCTCTTGAGTATGCTAATTTTACTTCACTTGAAGTTTTAGATCTTGCTGACAATCTTTTTATATCAGAGTTGCCTAGTTGGTTATTCAACCTTAGTTGTGACATCTCACATATGGACCTTAGCCTGAATCATATACATGTCCAACTGTCTAAAACATTGCCAAATCTTGAAAACCTTAAATCCTTGGTTGTCTCACAATAATCTTATTGGACCCATTCCCGATTGGTTAGGTCACATTAAACAACTACAAGCACTTCATTTTTCTTTTAATTCTTTTTCTGGTCCTATTCCCACTAGTTTGGGAAATTTATCATCCTTGACTGGATTGGATTTACAATCAAATTGGTTGAATGGAAGTCTTCCAGAAAGCTTTGGGAAACTCTACAACTTAGAGTACATGGAAGAAAGTTTTAATTTCTTTTCAGGAATTGTGTCTGAAAGAAATTTACTATGTATATGCATTGAGTTTATTTCACATACTGCAAAATACCTTGCTTCTTTACTTGTTCTGTCTTCTTAAGTTTATTTTTGCTATGTATATGCATTTGTATTAGAAACACAAACTTTAACAGCGTAATGAAAATTGTTTTAAACATATAGTGTGCCAATAAAATCTTAAAAATAGTGACTCTGAAAGCACTTTTAAAAGCCACATGCAATCCATTCAATAAGTCAAACCGTATGATATAGTCTGAACTGCATGACATTGTGTTTTTATTAGTACCAAATAAGTAAACAACTGGTTTAGATGTAGATCTCACATCTCAGCTTTCAGGGTCTAGTGTTTTAAACCAGAATCTGAGACACAGTAGACAGTAATTAAGAGTGTAATCCTTTCTAGATTGTGCAACTTATACAACTTGCATTTCTTTTTGTACTGTAAAATATGAATATTTTTCTTCAGCATTTTAATTCAAAACCTAAGAAAATACTGCATTAATCTAGTACAACTCCAATCTCTGAACCCTTGGGAAAGCACAACATGCCAATCTCTGGCTTTATGTCACAAATAATAGCATATGCTGGATGAGTAACATCATGGCAGTCCTTAATGAGGGCTGAATCACTTTGTGAAGAACCGCTAAATTTTCTAATGAAAGCTTTATATAAATGACAACTAAATCAATAATGCTACAGAAGAAACTTCAAAGACTATTGTCTGCAATGGATCCAATAAACCTTTTGTATTTGCATTTGCAACATTCTGAAATATTATACGCCATAAAGAATAAAATATGCATCTTGTATTACCTCTGTTCTTAAATATAAAGTTCTTTTGGGAAATTTGTTGTAGTTTATTTATTTATAACCTGTAAATTATTTATTGGATCAATTGAGTTTTATTATAAAAATATCCTCACTGAAGAAAAAATAATTAATTAAACAAAAAGATCATAAAGCAGTAGATTTTAATAATTTTTAAAGTAATTTTGAAAAAATTATATAACTTATGATAAATTTAATATCATTAATAAAATTAACTATATTCATTATTTTATATTAATTAATTGAAATATTTTTATATTTAACATAAATATAATCGAAGCTTAAGTTTATTTTTTATTAATTATATTGGAGAAATTTCAGTTTTATTCCCTGGTCCAGTCCAGTAACAGCCACATGGGCTGCTACTTAGGCCTAATAATTCTAAATTTTTTCATAGGCAACTATTCAAAAGCACAGTAGGAAAACGATTGCTTCAGCAAGCTGAGTCAATTATTGTAGGCCATCATGGTAGCTCAATTATTCATGGACACAAGAACGTAAACATTTTTTTTATTTAGAAAAATGCTCATATGATTTTAAACTATTATTAATAGTAAGATTTCATTAAAAATTATTTATTATATATTTATGGTTTTAATATAATAAATATATCTATTTTTAAATATTTAAATTCAATTTTAAAATTTAAGCTAACATAAATTTTTATTTAATAACCATATTTATAATATGTAAATAATAAAAATTTAAATATAATACTTTTATTAAACTTTAAAAATTTAATACTTTAATATAATTTTTCAACATGTGATAACTTTAAAAAGAAACAATTTAATAATACCACCATCAACAAGTTGTGGAAATAAGAGCCCTCCACACAAAATTTGAACTAGACCTTGACTTACACAATTCTGAAACTTATTCTCGTTAACTTGGAAAGGCAGTTCTATAATTCAATTAAAGTTTAAGTGAATATAACCCATACCCAAAATTCTTTTTTGTTCAGTAATTATATTCGTTTATTTGTAAACATTAGTTTTTAATAATTAAAATTTAAAAAATAATGATGATGCAGAGGTAATGTAATATTAATAAGTGATGTCTATTATTCACCTCATAACTTAATATAAAAGAGTTGATGATAAGTCTCGGATAATACTTTGTAGAGAAAAAAAAAACATATTTAAGTTATTTTATTGTTTTTAATAAAAATTTATTACATATAAATTATTTTTTGTTATATATTTTTAAATACAGTTTTTTTGGTAAAGTCGTTAAAAAAATTTAATAATAAAGGAATGAATCAGCAATGCTTTGGAATTTGAAAATAAATTAAAAAATTTCCACTAGGCCTTCTGGATCTTGCGGTGCGCTTTCCTTTGCTCGAGTATTCAACGTTTCCATCCACACTTGAATCAAAATCTTTCAAAAAGTAAGCACACGGAAACTAGATGGCCCATTGTTTGCATTCATCAATGACCTCTGCAACTTGTTGCAAAAAACACCAATGCAACTGCATCCCTACTTTGGGTCCCAAATGCTGCATAATAGAAAACTTGTGGAAGAGATAATAATCAAGAAAATCAATGATACATTTGTTGAATAAAAACATGCTCCTAATCTACATACCAACTACCAAGTGCAGTCACTACATCCTATAAAATATATCAATGTTCAATTAATACAATGGAAAGGATCATCAACATCTATAGCACAGAACTCAGTTCCTCCATCCCTTTGATATTCATAAATCAATTATAATTTTTATTAAAAATTGTAATATTTAATATTATTAATTTATTAAATTTTTTAATAATTTATATCTTTTTATAAAAAATTATTACACATAAGTACTTTTGAACATAAATTAAAAAAATAATTTTTCATAAATTACTGTCATATGTACTTGTGCAATTATCCCAGTCAGTCAGTGAAATTAAGTAGCATCTACCCCGTTTTCATTTTTTTTTTAAATATAAATAAATTAAGTTTTTTTTTTCTAAAGAAAACTTATTTTAAGAGTTTTTTTTTTCCATATATGGAAATTGGAATGCGACAGTGGCATTTGCCCTTATCCTCCTCGAAGACCATTGGAATTGGAATTGGAATTTTCGTGATGTTTCCATTTATGGAAGGCTTACTCCAACCATATAAATATTTGTGGAGGATGCAAATGCCTTCCATAGTAATAACCCATCTTCTTCTGAGATCATGGATACTTTTCCTTCCAATGTTAAATTCGTTTTGCTTTGCTTACTATGTTGTATATGCATGTTCAACTTTGTTACGTGCAGTTTGAAAGTTCAGTGCAATGAGAAGGACATGAACACACTCCTACACTTCAAACAAGGAGTCGTTGATCCTTCCGGTTTGCTATCTTCATGGTTTCCAAAACTAGATTGTTGTGAGTGGAAAGGAGTCAAGTGTGACAACATCACAGGCAGAGTCACAGACCTCAATCTCCCTTGTCCTACTAATCACCCTACAGTTGTTGTTTATGGAGAGATTGATGACAAATCACACTGCTTAACAGGTGAACTCAGCTTGTCTTTGTTGGAACTTGAATTTTTGAGCTACTTGAATTTGAGTAACAATGACTTCAAGACTATCCAATATAATTCAAAGGGTAGCAAGAAATGTGATGATTTGTCAAGAGGTACATCTTCCCATATCTGTGGAAACTCCACCAACCTTCATTATCTTGACTTTTCATATAATTATGATATTCGTGTTGATAATCTCCATTGGTTTTCCCATCTTTCCTCATTGCAATATCTTAACCTTAATGGTGTTTATCTTCACAAGGAAATTGATTGGCTTCAATCAGTGACCATGCTCCCTTCACTTCAAAAGTTACACTTGGAGAATTGTCAACTTGGAAACCTCTATCCATCTCTTCAGTATGCTAATTTTACTTCACTTCAAGTTTTGAATCTTGCTAACAATGATTTTATGTCTAATCAGTTGCCTAGTTGGTTATTCAATCTTAGTAGTGACATTTCTTATATTGACCTTAGCCAAAATCAGATACATAGCCAATTACCCAAAACATTGCCAAATTTTAGAAGCATTAAAGTCTTGATTTTGTCTGAAAATTATCTCAAAGGTCCCATTCCAGATTGGGTAGGACAACTTGAACAACTACTGGTACTTGATCTTTCTGTAAATTTTTTTTCTGGTCCAATCCCATCAAATTTGGGAAATATATCATCCTTGCTTGCATTGATTCTTAATTCAAATGAATTGAATGGAAATATTCCAGAAAGCCTAGGGCAACTCTCCAACTTGGAGCAAATTGAAGTCAATCATAATTCCTTGACAGGGATTGTGTCTGAAAGAAATTTTGTCTCTCTTTCAAATTTAAAGTTCCTTTACATAGGTTCACCTGCCTTGATCTTTGATTTTGATCCTGAATGGGTTCCTCCTTTTCAACTTCAACGGATTGAATTGTACTATGTGAGTGGAAAACTTCCTTCATGGCTATTTACACAGAGCTCTCTCACATTTCTGACTATTAAACACTCAAGTGCTTCATTTGAACCTCTTGACAAGTTTTGGAACTTTTCTACTCAACTTGAATATTTGTTTTTGGAAAACAATACTATCAATGGGGACATGTCAAACGTGTTTCTAAACTCAACAACTGTCTGGCTAGTTTCCAATAATTTGAGTGGTGGCTTGCCTCAAATATCACCAAATGTGGTCATTTTGTGTTTATATAACCATTCTTTGTCTGGACCTATCTCTCCTCTCCTGTGCAACAACATGACAGAAAAAAATAACTTAATGTACTTGGACTTGGGTTATAATCATTTATCAGGAGAACTCACAGATTGTTGGAATGCTTGGAATTTGTTGGTTCATATTGATGTGAGTTACAACAACCTGACAGGCAAGATTCCTCGCTCAATGGGATCCTTGTCTGACCTTTTTGCATTGTATCTAGAAAGCAATAAGTTATTTGGAGAGGTGCCTTTGGCACTGAAAGGTTGCCAAAAACTTTCAATCCTTGATGTGGGTCACAACAATCTTTCTGGAGCTATACCAAGCTGGATGGGTCAGAGTATGAAAGGTCTTAAACTGAGATCCAATCAATTCAGTGGCAATATTCCCACGCAGTTATGTCAACTTCATTCTCTAATGGTAATGGATTTTGCAAGTAACAATTTATCAGGACCAATACCCAATTGCTTGCATAACTTCACAGCCATGTTTTCTGATGAGGCTTCAAGTAAGTTTGGCATTATCATTTATATAGCAGGTGCACCACGTTTCTTCTTTTTTAGTATTACGATGCTTATAAAAGGCAATGAATTAGAGTATTTTAATTTGATGAATCTCATTGATCTTTCAAGCAACAATTTGTCTGGTAGTGTGCCTATGGAGATGTATATGCTCACTGGATTGCAATCATTGAATTTATCCCATAATCAATTGGTGGGATCAATACCAGAACAGATTGGAAACTTGAAACAGTTGGAATCCATTGATCTCTCAAACAATCATTTCTCAGGAGAAATTCCTCGGTCCATGTCTAATTTGCATTTTGTTGGTGTCTTGAACCTCTCATTCAACAATTTCATTGGCGAAATTCCATTAGGGACCCAACTTGGTTCTACAAATCTTAGCTATATAGGCAATCTGGGCCTCTGTGGACCTCCGCTTTCCAAGATTTGCCCACAAGATAAAAAATCTCATGATACAAAATCCATTGCAGAAGATGATGATCAATCTCATGTGTATTCATACTTCTATATGGGTATGGGAATTGGATATGCTTTTGGATTTTTGGGTGTTTTGGGTGCCATTTTCTTTAACAAGACATGTAGGCATGCTTATTTCAGATTTCTTCACCGATTGTATGTCATGGTCATCCGAAAGCAGAACTCCTATTGAAATCTAAGAAATTGCTACTATGGTAAGTAAAACAAATCACTCTTTCTTTTCCTTTATTGAGCTTCAAATTGAGTTTGATTTTTCTATATATATATATTTTGTTTAAATAAAATATACTGTCTATTGCATAGAAAGAAAGTGTTTTTAACTCTGTTTAGATCAAATAATCTGTCTTTTACCTAATTACACATATACACTTCTATTTGTGAAAGCTGTTGCAATGATTTTTTGCGATGGACAGATGAAATTTTTTTGTATAAGTATTTAATATCACACTAAAAATTCAAATGTCTGTGCTTCCTGATCATATACATAAATCAGGTCATAGTTTACAATTAATGACTTGAATGGTCATAATTGAAGATAATTTTATTCTGTCAAAATTGGTAATTTTTTACAAAAAATAAAAGAAACAGATTAAGAATGCGTTGCAATAGGACACAATACATATATATTTTTCTGGAAGGCTAGATGATTAACATGTATATATTTTTGTAATGTGACCTGTTTTCCTGGTCATTAAATGGGTTTGGATGGCTAGATGATTAGCATGTATATATTTTTGTAGCCTCACCATAACAACCTTTAACCTATTTTATTGAGTAAATTATTTTATTCACTTGAATCACATAAATTTATCATTTTGGAGTATTGATCCTTATCAAAGCTTTTAAGCAAAGAAAACAGTTATTTGGCAATAGTATTTTGGACTTCATATAGAAACCAGTTGGAAGAAAAGAAACATAAGCACCAATGACACTTCTTTTGTCAAACACTAAGTCCTCAAATTGAAGTCTTCCTTGTGCTTTAATTAGATGGTAATTGTTGAATACACTCAAACTTGAAAACTAGTAACTCGTTATTTACCCTTGCAAACTTTTGTGTACATATAATTGGCAGGTCCTTGATTTGCTTCGCTAACTTCACACACGGGTTTCCACAAGTGGCCCAAGGTTGCATGTGTTAAGATTCATAGGTTAAAAACATGACTTTTTTGGTATTCAGGATTTTAATAAGTTACTTAACCCATTCCAAATGTATCTATTTTCTGCATAGGTTGCAATGTTTCTTTATATAGATTACGATGGAGGTATTTGAAGATGCTTCTATATCGGATCTTATTTCAGAATATTACAAAAAAAATAAAAGTTGGAATATTCATTCTTTGTAACTTTTGCTTTCTGTTTTTTTTCACTTCACCGCATAATATGACAATAGATTCAACTTAATTACTATTTCTGTTCTTATTATTCTATTTAAGAGAAGATGAAATTTGTTCTGATAATATTATTATTTTTTTACCTAAAACCTTTTTGTTCATATAAAAATTTAAGTATCATAAATAATGTTTACAGCAATTTAGTAATCAATGTTGGATAGTAAAAAGTTCCATGGTAGGTTAGTAAGAAATTAAAAAGTTTATAAATAAGATAACATAAAATGGTTGCTAGAGGTCCAAGCTTGAAGAAATTAAGATTTGTCCAATAAAAATAAAATTAAATATATGATAAAAAAGTAAAATGTATTTGTTTATAAATAATCATAACACATGCTTAAATAAACAAAAATTCAAACAATTCATGGCTTTGTGAAATTTTACATTCAAATAGTGAATTAAACTCGGAAAATATGAAATTACAAATTGAAAAATATAGGCACCTCTTACATTCGAAAATATAAGCTGATTTAATATTTCTCCTACATCCTAGGCTCTGTTTGGTAACTAGCTAAATGCTCTTATGAGCTTGTAGTTGTGAAAGCAACCCAAAGCTTGTGTGTCGCTAACTTGTTGAATTAGAAATATTTAATAAAACTTGTTGTATAGTTAACTAAAATATGTTAAATAACTTTAAAAAAATGTTGACTATGTGAATATAAATTGTTTAAAAATTAAGAATAAAAATAAGAAGTAAATTATCAAAACTAACTTTTAGAAGATATAAAAAGTTATTTTAAGTAGCTTTAAAAATCATAAGTTCAATTTATTTTGCATTCACCAAATAATAACTTTGATTTGATAAACAAATTTCTAAATATGCTACAAACTTGTGTTACGAAATACACTCTTAATGAACCTACAAAATCTAATGTCCATTCAAAGTGTGTGATACGATCAAAATGTTACCTGCTGTTACATACAACAGTGTTCCAAATTTGTGCTGGAATATATGGTGTGAAAATCTGAGGGTTGATTCATTAGTTTCCAACATGTTCACGCAATCGTCATATATTGATGATGTGGGTATTACGTGAATATTAGTAGAATGACGAAATGGTTTTGATTTTATGTATGTCCAAAATCAAAGGTTTCTCTGATTTCCTCTTTCCACCCTTGTAATCAATTAGCTCTGCATGCATATAAATGAGTTTGAAATTAATTAAAAGATACACACAAAAATTTCCTCATTCAATGAACTAAGAATTATAAGAGAATTCTGATGAAATATCCACCTTGTTTTTCTTTTGTCATATACTTGAAGCATAGAACCATTTTGTCAACATAAACTCTGGTGGGTGATTCTTTCACATCAAATCTTAAGACCCTTCTTTTTTGTGGTGAGATTATGGTTTTCTTCCCCTCATATATCTTTTACTTATTTTGATGTTGTTACTCTTCGCCGTAACATTGGACCTTTGCAAATGTGTTTTCAAGGTCTATCTCAACACGCTAATAATCGAAGGTTTCAATATGCACAGGGCTCTCTTTGACTGACTGAGCGTAGCAAATAGCTTGATAAAGTAAATACTCCCTTTCACCCTTCAATATTATTAAATATTCATCTTAAACTAATAACATTCAGATTTTCTAAAACTATGAAGCTTAGTATTTAAGTCGTATGCAAAAGTATTACACAAATATAAATGATGTTATGAAAATTCTATTTATATATTTCTTGAGTTTTAATATTTTTAGGTCCATTAATTTGGTTGGTAGAATGAAAGAGAGAATATAATCAATTATTTTATCCTATTCTAATTTATAGTTTGGTTGTCATTAGATATGATAGAGTTCGTCTTAAATAATTTTATACACCTATTGTATTTAATTATCTTATCCTTATCGAATGTTAGAAAATTATAAAGCATAAATGTTGAGTGCTAGAGAATTGATTAGATAATTTTATTCAATGCCTATACATAAGTTTGAAGTTCTTACTCTTGACATTCGCATTTTTCTCCATCTACTTTCCCTTTCATACGTCACATGATTTTTCTTATGTCAAGTATATCATTTTTATTTTTCTTTCCAAATGTCTTAGCTCAAATTTGATCAATCTCAAACTATACGATTTTCATCATGATAAAATTCAACAGATTTAAATTTTAATACACAATCTTAAAATACTAGTTGTTTTACATAATTTATTTATATGACTTATTCTTTTATTTTAGAAGTTTTATTTTTAAAATATAGTTTTATATAATAAAATAAAATCTTGATGGTAACTCAATTAATTAGAAAAACTTGCCTCATCATGACAGAGTTAATTATGATGGCCAGACATGATAACTTAATATTCATCGAAAGTAAACTTTATTTTGTTATTATTTAACGTTCTACCTTGAATGATCCATTTGACATTAAGTCTGAAACTTACAGCCGCACAAATAATAACTTAATTAGAACTTTACTAAGTACATTAGACAAAAATTCTGAAATACTGAAACTTGTTGCCGTTGAATTGGTGGAAAGACAATTATTCTCGTCTGTCTTTTTCATAAAATCTTTTTAAAGACTTTTGAGAGTGTTTAATATATTTTTATTAAGAAAATTTTATATTTTTACCTTTTTATATTTATTCATCGTAAATATTAAATATTTCTCTCATTGAAAATAGAAAAATGTAATAAATATCTTATTTTTCTTTAAAAATAATCAATTTTAAGTATTTAAAATTAACCCTAAAAATTAAAATTATCAAAATCGATGATATATTTGTCACAAACATAGAGTGCAATTACTGCATCCTATAAAGGTATCAATGTGCAATTAATACAATAGAAAAGATCTTAAAGATCATTAACATAGGACTCAATCCTCCTCGCCCTTCTTTGGTTTTCATGAAATACTGTAACATATTGTCGTGCATCCAACCTTGCCTAACCTTGTTCACATCCTTCAAACCTTCTTCTACATTAATAGAACCCAATCAATCAGTATAATTAAATAGCATATCCCCACTTTGAATAACATTTTTAAAATGAGTCGTGTCTGAAAAATTAAAACAAACTTATTTTAAATTTGATTTTAAGTATATATTAATCTTAGGTCTTAATTAACCTACTAAAATTAAAAAATAAACACATTCTATTTTGCTCACTTTAAAACAAACTTATTTTGAGAATTTCAATTTACGGGAAAATTAATGAAGTGAGAACGGATGGCGTTGGAATGTAAAAGTGATGTAAGATTTCGAATCCCACTTAACGTGCCTTCATAGTCTGCTCGAAGACCATTGGAATTGGAATTGGAATTGGAATTTTCAGATGTTCACATTTATGGAAGACTTACCCCAACCTTATAAATAAATATTTGTAGAGGATGTCAATGCCTTCCATAGTAATTATAATAACCCATCCTCTAGTGAGATCATGGAAATTTCTTCTCGCTCCAATATTAAATTCATTTTGCTTTGCTTGGTATTATGTACTATCTGCATGTTCAACTTTGTTACGTGCAGTGTGAAGGTTCAGTGCTATGAGAAGGACATGAACACACTTTTACACTTCAAACAAGGAGTGATAGATCCTTCAGGCATGCTCTCATCATGGGTCACTGATGAAGATTGTTGTGAGTGGAAAGGAATCAAGTGTAACAATAACACAGGAAGAGTTATGGAACTCAATCTCCCTTGTCATACAACTCACTCTACAGTTGTTCCTTTTGGAGAGATGGACGACAAATCACACTGCCTTACAGGTGAATTCAGCATGTCTTTGTTGGAGCTTGAATTTTTGACCTTCTTGAATTTAAGCAACAATGACTTCAAGACTATCCAATATAATTCAAAGGGTAGCCTGAAATGTGCTGACTTCTCAAGAGGTACATCTTCCCATAAGTGTGGAAACTCCACCAGCCTTCATTATCTTGATTTGTCACTTAATTATGGTCTGCTTGTTGATAATCTCCATTGGATTTCTCCTCTTTCCTCATTGCAATATCTTAACCTTGGTGGGGTTTATCTTCGCAAGGAAATTGATTGGCTTCAATCAGTGACCATGCTCCCTTCACTTTCAGAATTACACTTGAAGGGTTGTCAACTTGAAAACATCTATCCTTCTCTTCAGTATGCTAATTTTACTTCACTTCAAGTTTTGAATCTTGCTAACAATGATTTTATGTCTAATCAGTTGCCTAGTTGGTTATTCAATCTTAGTAGTGACATTTCTCATATTGACCTTAGCCAAAATGATATACATAGCCAGCTACCTAAAACATTGCCAAATCTTAGAAGCATGAAATCCTTGATTTTGTCTGAAAATTATCTCAAAGGTCCCATTCCAGATTGGGTAGGACAACTTGAACAACTACAGGAACTTGATCTTACTAAAAATTATTTCTCTGGTCTAATCCCCTCAAGTTTGGGAAATCTATCATCCCTGATTGCATTGAGACTCAGTAAAAATGACTTAAGTGGAAGTATTCCAGAAAGTCTCTGGAAACTCGTAAACTTGGAGGACCTTCTACTTGCTGATAATTCCTTAACAGGAATTTTGTCTGAAAGAAATTTACTCTCCTTATCACATTTAAAGCATTTTTCTGCGAAATCACCAACCTTGATCTTTGATTTTGATCCTGAATGGGTCCCTCCTTTTCAACTTCAAACTCTTAGCTTGGGATATGTGAGTCAAAAACTTCCTTCGTGGCTGTTTACACAAAGTTCTCTAAAAATTCTATCCATTACAGACTCCAGTGCTTCATTTGAACCTCTTGACAAGTTTTGGAACTTTGCTACTCAACTTGAATATTTCTTTTTGGTAAACAACACAATCAACGGGGAAATGTCAAATGTATTGCTAAACTCGAAATTTGTTTGGTTAGTGACCAATAATCTAAGAGGTGGCATGCCTCAAATATCATCAGAAGTGGTTGTTTTGTGTTTGTATGATAATTCTTTGTCTGGATCCATTTCTCCTCTCTTGTGTGACAACAGGACAGATAAAAGCAATTTGGTGCATTTAGACATGGGTTATAATAATTTATCTGGAAATCTCACAGATTGTTGGAATGGCTGGAAATCATTGGTTCATGTTGATTTGAGTTACAACAACCTAACAGGCAAGATTCCTCCTTCAATGGGTTCCTTGTCTAACCTTCGTTTTTTGTATCTGGAAAGCAATAATTTTCTTGGAGACATACCCTTCTCACTGAAAAACTGCCAGAATCTTTGGATACTTGATCTTGGTCACAATAATCTTTCTGGAGTTATACCAAGCTGGTTGGGACAAAGTGTTAAAGGACTTAAATTGAGATCCAATCAATTCAGTGGCAATATTCCCACACAGCTATGCAACCTTCATTCTTTAATGGTGATGGATTTTTCAAGTAATAGATTAGCAGGACCAATACCCAATTGCTTACATAACATCACAGCCATGCTTTCTGATTATGCTTCAACTCGGGAAGTCGGCTTTACCGTTTACTTACCAAGTTTATCAGTAGCCATTGCCTGTACTATCACAATGCTTATAAAAGGAAATGAGCTAGAATATGTTAATTTAATGAATGTCATAGATCTTTCAAGTAACAATTTATCTGGAAAGGTGCCTTTAGAGTTATATATGCTTATTGGATTACAGTCCTTGAATTTGTCCCATAATCAACTAATGGGAAGGATACCAGAAGAGATTGGCAACTTGAAACCTTTGGAGTCCATTGATCTCTCAAGAAATCATTTCTATGGAGAAATTCCTCAGTCCATGTCTAATTTGCATTTTGTTGGGGTCGTGAACCTCTCATTCAACAATTTTATGGGCAAAATCCCATCAGGGACCCAACTTGGTTCTACAAACCTTAGTTACATAGCCAATCCTGGCCTTTGTGGACCGCCACTAACAAAGATATGCCCACAAGATGAAAAACCCCACAGTACAAAACCCATGGAAGATGATGATGGTGATGACAAATCTCAATTACTTTCATGCTTCTATATGGGCTTGGGAATTGGATTTGCTGTGGGATTTTTGGGAGTTTTGGCAGCCATTTTCTTCAACAGAACATGCAGGCATGCGTATTTTAAATTTCTTCACCGATTGAATGTCATGTTCATCGAAATTGGAGCTCCTTCTATTGAAATTTAAGAAAGTGCAACTGTGGTAAGTTAACAAAGCAAATTTCTTTTTGGCCTCTATTGACTTTAAATTGTGTTTGACTTTTTTAAATTACGTACTTTGTTCAAATAAAATATACTGTCTACAGTATAGAAAGCAAGTTCTTTTACTCTCTTTAGATCGACTAAAGAGATGGAGAGACGATTGATTTTGTAAGTATCTATTATCATACTTGAAACTCAAATATTTGTAGTTCCTGATCATATGTATAAATCAAGTCATAATTTACAGTGTAATGACTTGAATGGTCATAATTGAACAATATTTATTCAGTCACAATTGATAGTTTTCTTTTACAAAAAATAGAAGAAACAGATTTATGCGTTGTAAACTTGTAATAACACACAATAGATATACATGTCAAAACTTGAGACGCGTTTTCCTGATATGGTTTGTGGATAGCTAGATGATTAATATCTATCTATCTTCGTTCACTTGAATGATCACATAAATTTAGCCTTTTGGAGTATTTATCCTTATTCCGCATTGGTATTTTGGATTTCATAGAAAATCCAGATGGAAGAACACATGACAAAAGAAACACTAAGGACATTTCTTTTCTGAAGCATTAATTCTTCAAATTGATGTCTTCCTTGCCCTTTAGATAGTAGTAATTGTTGAATATTCTCAAACCTGAAAACTAGTAACTTTTTATTTACCATTTCAGACTCTGTACATTATTTGTAGGTCCTTAATATGCTTCGCCAAGTTCCCACAGAGTTTTCTACAAGAGGCACAAGGTTGCATGTGTTCTTTAAGATTTCACAAGTTGAATACGTGACTGGTATGTTCAGGATTTTAGTAAGTTACTTAGCCCATTCCAAATGTATCTATTTGCTCTATACTATACAGGGTTTGTGTTTTTGTGGTAATTAAGTCTGCGATGTTTTTTTTATCACGTGGAAGATATTTGAAGATGCTTTTATATAGCAGATCTCATTTCAGAATATTAAAAAAAATAAAACAAAATTTGGAATATTCTCTACGAACTTCCTTTTGCTTTCTGTCTTATCATTTGTACTGAACAATATGAGAATAGATTCAACTTTAACAATAAGTGTAGTTAACCACATGGTTAAAACTACTAATTAACCAATTGCACAGTCATCAAAGCCAAAGAATGGAATCTATTCAATGAGCCAAAGCATCTAGTAAGAACAATGAAAACGACAGCAAAAATGATAATAATAAAAAAAAAATCAGAAATGCTGTAAATTGTAATTGTTAGGGGATATAATAGATTATAATAAAAGAAAGCATGAAATATGCATATGAGCTGCAGCAACTCGATCACGATCAAGGACTAAGTTTGGAGTGTTAATGATCAAAATATTACGTGGTATTACATTAAAATTATGTAATTTACTTATTTTTAATTGTACGAAACTATGCAACAATTTTTTTTTTCTGATCTTCCCTCGAAAAATGGCAATAAAGCCTAATTTAGATAATTTTTTTAAAAAAAATAGATAAAAAAATTATTATAAAAAATAAATAAAATTTCTCTCATAATTTAAAAACAAGTGACGTTTCTAATATTTTAAAAGCTCTTCCATTTAATTTTCCAAAATTTAAAAAGATTAATTATTTTTAACTTATAAAAAATATTTCATTCATTTTTTCTGCTACAATATCTTCTGTAAAAGTTTACCCAAACTACCTCTAACTCGTATACAAGCTCTTCAAAATTTCTACAGCTATGGTGTGAGATACCTACGGCAATATATCCTAATTAATTGCTAACAATATTGCCACTCTGGTGTGGATATTCGTAGAATGATGAATAGACATATATGGTTCTGATTTTCTGTGTCCCCCACACCATCTTGTTAATTCATTCACTGAATAGCTAACTGTTTATTCTCAATATCAATTTGTTACTCTGTCAATTCATAAAAGAACAAATAAATAAATAACTGGTACCAAGAAAAATAAAGCACCAAGGTTCTGTCCAAGCTCCACTTTTACCCTTTATGTTAATTTTCTTATTAATTTGTCACCTACAGGCAGCTTTGAAATTAGCAGATAGACATCGAAATTGCTTTATTTTATGAATTAAGAAATACTAGCATTGTCACTCATGTTATGCATGGAAACTGTTTCAAAAGTTTGGTCATTTTATTTGTATTTTTTCCCCATTTTTTTACAAGTTTTAATATAATTTTCTATTGAATATATGTATGTAAAAATTCAATACAAAGTATTAATTAAAATTTTTTATATACAAAATTATAAATAATGTTAAAATATAAAATAAAATTGAAGAAACAATTTTATTTTTATTTTTATCACCTCTTCTGCAACGAAATTACTTTTGTTGCAATTTTTATCTTTATTCTTTTGTCGCCTTAATCTTATCCTGAAAATTGTAATGAAAAAAACACAGAAAATGATTTCGTTATTTCTTCATATTGTTTATTTTAGTAATTCCAGAGACAAGTAAGAAAAAATCAGATATAAAACTATTTTATGAACATGAACTCGTTATTCCTTAATTCCCTTCCAAGGTTCATCGCAAAAAGGACCGATCACCAATACACACTCGAAATGTATAAACAAGGAATCGTTGATCCATTAAGTGTCCTATCTTCAATTCTTTTTAAAAGGATGTGATAAACTTACTCAAAAGTATTAGACAAATATACGATATTATGAAATTTATCCAAAAAAATATTTAATTTTCAGAAATTAATTATCAATATTATTATTTTTATTTTTTGTATATTTTTTTAAAAAATAACTTACTTTTCACACACTTAAAACTTACATTTTACATTAATTTTATGATATTTTTGTCTTCTCCAACTTTATTTTTGTTCATTAATATCTAACTTTAATATTATAATAATATAATATTACATATTATATTAAATCACTTGACACAAATTAATTAATTACACAATAAATTTAACAAATAATTTTAATTCAATGTGCTATTTATAACTATAAGCTTTTAGTCATAAGTATACATTTTTAGCGCACAACGTTTACCGAATAAAGCCAAAAAATACTTTGTCTTAGATAATTTGACTACAAGTGTTGTATATTTAATAAAACCTTTATTTGATTATATTACTCTCATCAAACGTTAGAAAATTATGAAGCACAGATGTTCAGAGAAACTAGCTACCACCATTTATTTGATTATATTAGAAATGCTTGCTAGGACACATAATGTAGTTCTTAAGACGTAAATAAAATTCCAAAAGAACTATCAATTTCTCCATATATTCGTATAATCTCTCATTAAGTATTTTTGGTGAAGAAGTTATATATCACACTCAATATCCTAATCATATTTAATATATATCACCAAAAAAACTTATATATTCCTAATCTACTCACATTTTTGTCAACAATTCTTGATTTGACGTGAATTAATCGTCGAGAAGCATTCAGCGTTGGTCTTTTCCAATTGACAAATGCTATAACTGCCAGAAAATTGTATTTGTTTAGATTAAAATTGCCACTGAATAAAGTTTAAAATGTCCAATCACGAGTTAACTTATGAATTAGTGGCAACAAAAATTGACAAAAAAGATTGAATTTGTACTCTAAACAATCAAAACCTAACGTACTTCTGAATATGTTATGAATTAGCAGAACAAAAAAAAAAAAACCTTTTTAGTGATCGCTTCAACCCTACTTTTAGTCCTGTTGTATGCTAAAAAGCTTGTGAAAGGGAACACAATATCTATTAATTTTTAGAGTTGACTTAAAGAAATTCAAAATAATTATTTTTCTTAAAAAAAATACGTTTATTGCATTGAAAATAGAAAAATGTAATAATTTTCAGCATTTAAAGTTAATCCTGAGAATTAATATTATCAAAATCGATGATATATTTGTGACAATCATAGCAAGTGCAATAACTGCATCCTATGAAGGTAGCAATGTGAAATTAATATAATAGAAAAAGATCTTAAAGATCAGTAGCATAGGACTCAGTCCTCCTATCCCTCCTTTGGTTTTCATAAATACTTTGATATATTGTTCACATCCTTCAAACCTTCTCCAATCAATCAGTATAATTAAGTAGCACCTGCCCCACTTTGAATCTTAGCTCTTAATTAACCTACTAAATATTATTATTAAAGATAAGCACTCTATTCTATGCTAACTTTAAAACAAACTTATTTTGAGAGTTTTAATATATTAAAGATGAGAGTACGGAGGGCGTTGGAATGTAACAATCACATATGATTTCGAAACCAACTTAACGTGAGTTATCTTATCCTCAAAGACCATTGGAATTGGAATTTTCAAAATGTTCACACTTATGGAAGACTTACAGCATCCTTATAAATATTTGTAGAGGATGTCAATGCCTTCCATGGTAATAACCCATCTTGTGAGATCATGGAAATTTCTTCTCGCTCCAATATTAAATTCATTTTGCTTTGCTTGGTGTTATGTACTATCTGCATCTTCAACTTTGTTACGTGCAGTGTGAAGGTTCAGTGCTATGAGAATGACCCGAACACACTTTTACACTTCAAACAAGGAGTGATAGATCCTTCAGGCTTGCTCTCATCATGGGTCACTGATGAAGATTGTTGTGAGTGGAAAGGAATCAAGTGTAACAAATAAGAAAAAAAGAAGAAGAAGAAGAAAAGACCAAGTAAACAAGAATGAAAAATGAAAAGTTAGGAACAAACTTTTTTTTGACATTTTATTATTGAAAACTATAAAAATACAAAAGAAAATTCTCACATTAGAAATAAAAAAGAATAAAATTTAAATAATTTTATTAATTTAAAAAAAATTAATTAATAATTAAGAGTGTATTAGTCAAATTATGTTACTATCATTTTGTAAAAGATAAAAATATGCTTTGGACGAATACTTGCGATGCAGTGTGATTTAAATACCCAACATCCATGAAACTACGGTTTTGTAAAAAATACTTATAATTTTACACTCATAATTTTGTATGTTATTTTCTTAATTATAGTTATAACTTTTTTTTCCTTTCCTCTGCCCACTTCACATCCAAGGATGTAAAAATATAATAATTTTTTTAATATATATATATAGAATGAAATATCCACCCTTTAATATCCTAATGTTATACTGTAAGCAAATATAAAACCAGTTTATGAACATAAATTCCAAGGATTATTCCTTAATTCCCATCCAAGGTTCATGTAACTAATAAGACCAATCACCAATACACACTCGAAAGGTAAACAAGGAATCGTTGATCCATCAAGAGTACTATCTTCACTTCTTCATGACTGAGTGAATAAGAGTTGTTTAAATGGCAGCACTTGCCCCACTCAAACGTAAAATTCCAAGATATAAGACCTCATCTTTTAAAATTAAAAGGAAAAACAAACACGTAAAATAATAATAATAATTTATACAATAAAAATTATAATGTACAATTATATTTAAATGTCAATAAATTTTATGATAACTTTAAAATGTCAGGTAACATTTTAAAAACAGACATTAGTATAAATTTAGAAATTTTTATATTTAATTTAAATTTTTTATTTAACTTATATTTAGCGATTAATAAAATAATAAATTATAACTCGTTAGATATAAGTTAAACAAAAATAATAATAATAACTGTCAATTTCTTTGTATATTCGTATAATCTAATTAAATATTTTTGGTGAAGTTATATATTACACTTTATATCTTAGTCATATTTAATATATATCATGGAAAAAACTTAAGAGTATTTTTTTTGTATTTTTAAAAAAATTTAAATAAAAAAGTATACTTATTTTTTAATTTAAAAAAAATCTTTTTAAAAATTGAAATAAACATGCTTTTATTTAACCTTTTCTTCAGTATTCAAAGTTATGGATTTTATTTTTTAACAAATAATCTTCACAGCAAGAAAAAAAATCCGACAATTTTAAGAATAGATTATTAACGATTTAGAGTATGTTTGTTTCTAATTCTCTTTTTAAAAACTAAAAATACATATATTTTTAATTTTTAAATTAAAAAAAAAGAACTCTTTTGAAAATTGGAAATAAACGTACCTTGACCTCTACTCAATATTTATTAACGATTCTTTATTTGACGTAAATTAATCGTCAAGAAGCATTCAGCGTCGGTTTTATCCAATTGACGGCGATGCCGTCACAAATGTTCTAACTGCCAGAAAATTGTATTTGTTTAGGTTAAAATTGCCACTGAATAAAGTTAAAAATTCCCAATCATGAGTTAACTTATGAACTAGTGGTAATAAAAATCGACAGAAAGTGAATTTGTACTTTTGACAATTAAAACCTAACCTAATTTAACATATTATATATAAATTACCAGAAAAAGACCTAAAAAGAACCCTTTGTTGTGATCCCTGCATCCCTACTTTTAATCCCAAATGTTTGTATACTAAAAAATGTGTGAAAGGGAATATAATAAATATTAAGTTTTAGATTTGATTTTAAGAAACTAAAAGTAAAATTTTTTTATTAAAAAAAGGTTTATTACATTGAAAATAGAAAAATGTAATAAATATCTGATTTTTTAAAAATAGAAATACCATTTTTCAGTATTTAAAATTAACCCTAAGAACTAATATTATCAAAATCGGTGATACATTTGTCACAATCATAGCAAGTGCAATTACTGCATCCTATAAAGGTGTGAATGTGCAATCAATACAAAAGAAAAGATCTTAAAGATCAGTAGCATAGGACTCAGTCGTCCTCGCCCTTCTCTGGTTTTCATGATATACTGTCATATATTGTCGTGCAACCAACCTTGTTCACATCCTTCAAACCTTATTTTCAATTTGATTTTAAGTATATATAAATCTTAGCTGATAAAATGTTTTGAAAATTAAGCATAAGAGTACGGAGGGCATTGGAATGTGACAGTGAAAATGATTTCGAAACCAACTTGACGCGCGTTATCCTCCTCGAAGACCATTGGAATTGGAATTGGAATTTTCATGATGTTCAGACTTGTGAAAGACTTACTCCAACCATATAAATATTTGTGGAGGATGCAAATGCCTTCCATAGTAATAACCCATCTTCTTCTGTGATCATGGATACTTTTCTTTCCAATGTTAAATTCGTTTTGCTTTGCTTGCTATGTTGTATATGCATGTTCAACTTTGTTACGTGCAGTTTGAAAGTTCAGTGCAATGAGAAGGACATGAACACACTCCTACACTTCAAACAAGGAGTCGTTGATCCTTCCGGTTTGCTATCTTCATGGTTTCCAAAACTAGATTGTTGTGAGTGGAAAGGAGTCAAGTGTGACAACATCACAGGCAGAGTCACAGACCTCAATCTCCCTTGTCCTACTAATCACCCTACAGTTGTTGTTTATGGAGAGATTGATGACAAATCACACTGCTTAACAGGTGAACTCAGCTTGTCTTTGTTGGAACTTGAATTTTTGAGCTACTTGAATTTGAGTAACAATGACTTCAAGACTATCCAATATAATTCAAAGGGTAGCAAGAAATGTGATGATTTGTCAAGAGGTACATCTTCCCATATCTGTGGAAACTCCACCAACCTTCATTATCTTGACTTTTCATATAATTATGATATTCGTGTTGACAATCTCCATTGGTTTTCCCATCTTTCCTCATTGCAATATCTTAACCTTAATGGTGTTTATCTTCACAAGGAAATTGATTGGCTTCAATCAGTGACCATGCTCCCTTCACTTCAAAAGTTACACTTGGAGAATTGTCAACTTGGAAACCTCTATCCATCTCTTCAGTACGCTAATTTTAGTTCGCTTAAAGTTTTGAAGCTTGCTAACAATAATTTTATGTCTAATCAGTTGCCTAGGTGGTTATTCAATCTTAGTAGTGACATTTCTTATATTGACCTTAGCCAAAACCAGATACATAGCCAATTACCCAAAACATTGCCAAATTTTAGAAGCATTAAAGTCTTGATTTTGTCTGGAAATTATCTCAAAGGTCCCCTTCCAGATTGGCTAGGACAACTTGAACAACTACTGGTACTTGATCTTTCTGTAAATTTTTTTTCTGGTCCAATCCCGTCAAATCTGGGAAATATATCTTCCTTGCTTGCATTGATTCTTAATTCAAATAAATTGAATGGAAATATTCCAGAAAGCCTCGGGCAACTCTCCAACTTGGAGCAAATTGAAGTCAATGGTAATTCCTTGACAGGGGTTGTGTCTGAAAGAAATTTTTTCTCTCTTTCAAATTTAAAGGTCCTTTTCGTAGGTTCACCTGCCTTGATCTTTGATTTTGATCCTGAATGGGTTCCTCCTTTTCAACTTCAACGGATTGAATTGTACTATGTGAGTGGAAAACTTCCTTCATGGCTATTTACACAGAGCGCTCTCACATTTCTGACCATTAAAGACTCAAGTGCTTCATTTGAACCTCTTGACAAGTTTTGGAACTTTTCTACTCAACTTGAATATTTGTTTTTGGAAAACAATACTATCAACGGGGACATGTCAAACGTGTTTCTAAACTCAACAACTGTCTGGCTAGTTTCCAATAATTTGAGTGGTGGCTTGCCTCAAATATCACCAAATGTGGTCATTTTGTGTTTATATAACCATTCTTTGTCTGGACCTATCTCTCCTCTCCTGTGCAACAACATGACAGAAAAAAATAACTTAATGTACTTGGACTTGGGTTATAATCATTTATCAGGAGAACTCACAGATTGTTGGAATGCTTGGAATTTGTTGGTTCATATTGATGTGAGTTACAACAACCTGACAGGCAAGATTCCTCACTCAATGGGAGCCTTGTCTGACCTTTTTGCATTGTATCTAGAAAGCAATAAGTTATTTGGAGAGGTGCCTTTGGCACTGAAAGGTTGCCAAAAACTTTCAATCCTTGATGTGGGTCACAACAATCTTTCTGGAGCTATACCAAGCTGGATGGGTCAGAGTATGAAAGGTCTTAAACTGAGATCCAATCAATTCAGTGGCAATATTCCCACGCAGTTATGTCAACTTCATTCTCTAATGGTGATGGATTTTGCAAGTAACAATTTATCAGGACCAATACCCAATTGCTTGCATAACTTCACAGCCATGTTTTCTGATGAGGCTTCAAGTAAGTTTGGCATTATCATTTATATAGCAGGTGCACCATGGATCTTCTTTTTTAGTATTACAATGCTTATAAAAGGCAATGAATTAGAGTATTTTAATTTGATGAATCTCATTGATCTTTCAAGCAACAATTTGTCTGGAAGTGTGCCTATAGAGATGTATATGCTCACTGGACTGCAATCATTGAATTTATCCCATAATCAATTGGTGGGAACAATACCAGAAGAGATTGGAAACTTGAAACGGTTGGAGTCCATTGATCTCTCAAACAATCATTTCTCAGGAGAAATTCCTCAGTCCATGTCTAATTTGCATTTTGTTGGTGTCTTGAACCTCTCATTCAACAATTTTATGGGCAAAATCCCATCAGGGACCCAACTTGGTTCTACAAACCTTAGTTACATAGCCAATCCTGACCTTTGTGGACCACCACTAACAAAGATATGCCTTCAAGATGAAAAACCCCACAGTACGAAACCCTCGGAAGATGATGATGGTGATGACAAATCTCAATTACTTTCATGCTTCTATATGGGCTTGGGAATTGGATTTGCAGCGGGATTTTTGGGAGTTTTGGGAGCCATTTTCTTCAGCAGAACATGCAGGCATGCGTATTTCAAATTTCTTCACCAATTGTATGTCATGCTCATCCAAAAGTAGACTCCTTCTATTGAAATCAAGAATATTGCAACTGTGGTAAGTAAAGCAACTTTTTTTTCCCTTTATTGAGCTTTAAATTGAGTCTGGATTTTCTATATATATATTGTTTAAATCAAATATACAACCTACTATCTAGAAAGCGAGTACTTTTTAATCTTTTTAAGATCCAATATATATCATCTGTCCGTAATTACACAGACACAGTACATGTCAAGACTTGAGACAAGTTTTCCTGGCCACTAGATGGGTTGTGGATGTATAGGTGATTAACATGCCGTATCTATTTTTGTTAACTCATCACAACAACCCTTAACCTATTTATTGAGTTAATTACCAATGAAATTTCAGGGCTTAACAACCCTGAACCAGTTAGAAAGGCATGCTCTATCCTTCACATAAATCAAGGCTTGTAAGTTTTTCAGCAATCGTGCTTTGGACTTCTTAGAAAACCAATTGGAAGAACAGATGACAAAAGAAACAAAAGACGCACTAAAACATTTTTTTGTCAAACACTAATTCCTCAAATTGATGTCTTCCTAGTGCTTTAGATAGTAATAGTTGAATATACTCAAACTTGAAAACTAACAACTAGTTATTTACCCTTGCAAAATCTGTGTACACAATTTGCAGCTCCTTAATATGGTTCCCTAACTTCATATAGAGGTTTCTACAAGAGGCCCAAGGTTGCAAGTGTTCTTAAGATTCATAAATTGAAAATGTGACTTTAAGTTCGGGAGTTTAATAAGCTACTTAGCCCGTTGCAAATTTAGGATTGTTTTCTGTTGTAAGTTTGCTTTATAGCATTATGTGGAAGATATTTGAAGGCACCATATCTTATTTCAGATTATGAAAAAAAATCATAAAAATTGGAATTCTCATTCTCTAATAACTTCCATGTGCTTTTTGTTAAGTGTACAATATGACAACAGATTCAACTTTAACAATAAGTTAACATAAACAATTCATAATATGGTTGGAACTATTATTTAACCAATTATGCAGTCATCATGTCTTCATTAGTAGTTTGCAATGTTTCTGAACAGTGGTCCTTTGAAAAATTAAAAAGGAAAAAGAAGTGGGAAGGAGCAGAGGGCCAGAATATTCAATAAGTCAAACCACCTAAATAATAGTCTAAAATGCAAGGCGTTGTGTTTTTCACTTTTTTAGTATTATGGTAAGTTACTGGTGTAGAATTTATGCCATTTCACAAAAAGAACAATGATAACCACCGCAAAAAGAATCCGGAATGCTGTAAAATGTAACTGTTAGGGGATGAAGTATAAAATGACTTAAATCATATTTTGATTTCTAAACATTTGCAATTTTTTTATTTAGTCATTTTTTATATTTTTTTCAATCTAATCCTTCAAAAAAATGATTCTCATTTGCATCTAGCCCCTTCATTAGTAATTTATTCTCTTATTTTGTTTTTTTCACATAATATCTAAGTTAACTCATAATTTAACTGAGACATAAAATAAACAGAATGTGTAATTAATAACATCACATCTTCCGTATTTTCAAAGAAATTTCAGCTTATAAAGCTAGAACTTCCAAAATTAAGATTTAAAAATATAAAAGAAATAAAAGTGTAAATATCACATCACTGTCAACACCCACCAACCAACTGGATGTCATATTAGTATAAATTGATTATTATATGTACATACTAGAAAAAAGTAATAAATTACTAATAAAAAAATACAAAAATAAAAATAATTTATGAGAGACTTATTTTAAAAAATTAAAAATCAATGGATCAAATAAAAAATTAAAATTTTTAAAGATAAAAATTTTATTTAAGCCAAATAAAATATATGTTTTAGACTTGAAAATGGATTCAATGATCATTTCGGACTTAAAAATTTGCTGCTTATTTTACCACTGACGTTGGCAATGGGAATTAAATTTTCTAAAGACGTTGGTACAAAACAATGATATTATTTATGTTACCTCTCTCTGATAACATGGTACTCATGATTGTTCTTTCCAATCGAGATCGTCTTATTAGGCTACTTTTTGTGAGATTTCTGAAGCCACAAGATTCCCTTTTAGACTTATTTGCTTCGAATGATTTCTTCGTGTGGTTGTGTTATCAAAGTTCGTGACGGCAAATTTAACAAATATAATTTTTTTTAACCCGCTGATCAGATCATGTATTACCAAATCAAGAAAGGAGTTAGCATATCTTAACTAATAACACAACATCATTGAATGAATGGAAAAAAAAAAAAAAAAGACACTGAAAATGCATCATATTTGAATACTTAAATTGGAAGAAAAATCCTAACAAAAATATCTCTCCAGAAATTATGCCTACCTCAGACGTCTGATATACTCACTTTGCTAGCCCATTACACATCCGCGCGCGTACACACACAGGGATAGAGATAGATCAAGTTACAAGAATTACTTTGCTAACATATGATCATACATATAAAATTTTAAATAAATCAGGCTTTCATGGATATATAATTTTGTAATTAACATTTATTTATATTTTAAAAATTTGTTAAACATTAAAATAAAGCTGTCTATTGAATTGTTCATTTTTTATTTGTATGATTTTTGACAAAATTGATCTATTTAAAAGCAACTTTTAATTTAACATTGAATTAACAAATTTTAATATTTATACTAACTGCATAACATCAGTTGCTGACTTGCCTTTCTTTTTCTTCTAATAAACTCAGATTTCGGCAATGCCATTATATATTACAACATAAAGATCCAATAGAACCTATTTAAGTTCTCACTTCTCGCCAAGGAGATAATGAAAAACTCCAAAATAGAATGCGGTGCTATGATAAAGATGTTACGCGGACAGAGTTATCAGCTGATCCAGTCAAGAAAATGGGCAAGGTTGGATGCCAATCCACAGTAGTAATGTGAGCACCGTGAGGAAGGGTTCTCCAACCACTCAAATGACCTTGAACCTGACACAAGGAAGCCAGCCAGACATTTTCAGAAAACTAACAAGATAACCACAATCAAGCCAAAATTTAATGGCTGCCACTAGCCAAACCAATATACGAGTAAGTAGACTTGAAAGGGATGGTCTGATCACAATTCATGGGAGAACTAAAGAAACATTAACCTGATATATTGGTGCTCTAACCGAACTGGACGTTACCAACAGTCTCCTCCCATTTGCATCTAATGCCATCTCATGTCTGCTACATTTTGAACCATTGAAGGGATAACAGAACCTGTGAAATGTTTATCATGCTGACAATTAATTCTTCAAACATATCTTAAAGCAAGGATAGAAGAGACGGAGTATTTGCATCTCAGTTGTAAGTGACTAGTCCAACCCCACTAATTTCGAATGTGTATAAATATTTTTATATTATTAGTAATACTAAAAAATTTAAATAAAATATTTACATTTCTATCATTTGAAATATTAACTTCATTCAGTAGTAAGGCAAATCTAGTTTATAAAAAGTAATTTAAGAAACTTGTGAGTTTAATCATAAGGTGTCAAACTATAAATATACCTACTGCAGTCTCTTGACCACAGGATTTGACCTTGATTCTGCAAACTCCACTCAAAAATCTGACAAAAGAACCAATTAGTATGAAGTGTACAATACATTTCACAAGCTGGTATAACATTTACATAAATAGTCCTTGCCTTCCCATCAGAGCCCAGGCTAAAAATGCTAGTCTCATCTGGCCCAAAAAGAATAGAGCTGATAGATGAATCATGTGCAGGCCAGCCAGTGATTTGTAAACCAGAAGACATGTCTTTGACTTGTTAAGGATGACATGATTCACTGCTAGTATTGTAGTACATTCACAATATATTCTCTTACAATAAAAAATTTGCCACATTTTATTTCAGCAAACAACTGAGCCTAATAATCATAAGGAACCTCCAGATAGCACAAGAATCCGTTAAATTGACAAATATGGCAAGGGAAGATATAACTTCCTGAATACAAGACAAAACAATATTTTATTTTATAGATGAATGAAAATATACATTAATGCAGGGAGATAATCACAAGAATAAAATTCAGGATACCAAACATGTGAATCATTCCATCAACAGCAGAAGCTGCTAAAATCTTTCCATTATGATTAAAGCATAGAGAAGTTATCGCTGGCGGATCTTCTCCAAGAGGAAGGACTGTCTTCATGAAATCTAAAATTAAACTTAGACACAAATGGCATAACCACTCTATACAAAGAAGCACATACCATGGCTTTCCACAGCTTCATGTTCCACACAGTTAGTGAAGCAAAACCCAGGTTGTCACAATAGTTGGAACCAGCCCTACATAGACAGTATCGTCCTTGTAATTCCTTGCTAACATAATTTACATGTTTGGCAATTAGTCCTTGTACCTTAAAAACTTACATTCTAATCCCTATATGAATATTTCATTCCGCTTAGTCCCTATTGTTTAAAGTTGTTAGTGAAAGTTACATTTAATTAAGTTATTGTTAAAGTCATGTCAGCATTTTTTTAATAGTGTTATAACATTAGGCAAAAAAAATAAGAAAAATGCTTGTATAGAAATTAAAACATAAGTTTTTTTTAGTACAGGTACCAATTTGTAAATGATTTTCAATTGTAAGACCAAGTACGTATTCTAACCTAAAAAGAGGGATACCCTGATCAATGGTAGCATTTTTTTAATAGTGTTATAATGTTAGGCAAAAAAAATAAGAAAAAATGCTTGTACAGAAATTAAAACAGAAGTTTTTTTAGTACAGGTACTAATTCGTAAATGATTTTCAATTACAAGACCAAGTACGTATTTTAATCTAAAAAGAGGGATACCCTGATCAATGGTACTTAACCATAGTTTCATCCTTACGTCCAAAATCATAACAGCAAAATGTACACATCATAATTGGACAAATATTGTGTTAAAATAGAGGGTCAAGTCACCAAATCATATTAATAATTTACTACTACGAAAAAGAATTCAGTATTTAAAAAATTTAATGAATACCCTCCAGATGCTGCAGCAGACACAAAAATAGGTTCCACGGGACTGCACTTTATGTCCAAAACACTGTAAAAATACACATGTCAGAGAATTGAAAAACAATGCACAAAAACTGAAAATGATATAATTAAGAAACCTAGGAAATGCTTCAGTTGTGTTGAGGTCACACACAACTCTCTTTGCGTCCACATTCCATGCCTTAATGCACCCATCAGCTGTACCTATTAGAAGCTTTTATCAAGAATGAACAACTTAATTTTATTTTACAAATTACAATCCCATACCATCAATTTAAATAACTAATATCACCATGAGAAACCAATTCACATACCAAGCGGTCTGATTTACATTCCCAGTCAAGCGACAAAACTTCAGAACCACAATATATGGTTGCATTTCTGGACACCGGAGTTGATGTATCATATGTCCATATCCTTTATTAAAACATGTAGAGAAAACAAAGGCCAAATTGCTTGAGAGAGATTTCATAAAAGATAAGAGTTTCAGATACTCAGTGAATGGTAAAGAAGAAGGCATAAATGGAGGGAAACGTATAAAGGGCCATTTCTAGACAAAAAATGCATTGGAGTGCATCAAACTATTTCTTTTTGTATTTAACTTCTTATCTGTTGTTGATGGTATTGCTCTAAATACATCTGCACACAAGGTTACTGATACTAACTGAACCATAACACAAGAAGAAAGGAAATATGGAAATGAATTGCACTAGGAGAAATCACTGAGGTCAGAAGAGAATATACCAGTGAGATAAGTGAAATACATAAAAGATTAAGTAGCAGAAACAAAAATGAAAATGATAACCCAAGCGTTTTTGAGAGGCCTTGAGCTCCCTCCCAGTTTTCCTGTTTGCTCTTTTTCTTTCTTCTTTCCTACCCTCCCCACCATTTGATATATTCTGTTTATAAACTCATCATTGTCCATGCCACGTGTAAACCCATACCATTCTCAATTCCTACCCTTTCCACACTCATGTGAGGTGTAGATCTCTTGCTTTCTCTTTTATTTCTCCTTTTGAGCCACCTGATAAGTATCGGTTTGCTAACAATTTCTAAATAATGGCAAATGAGTACATGGTATAGCCCAGTAATCAAGTCAAATAATTACATGAAACCAGTTCCATTATTCCATGTATGTAATAATCTTGACATGTTTGGTTCAACTCACAAAGAGGGTACCTGACAGTTCCATCCATAGAAGCACTGGCAATATTGTTTCCAGATGCAGAGAAGCGGCATCGACTGATTGAACTGGTGTGCCCCAAAAATGTCTCCTAGAAACCACAGTGATGTGATATTTATAGATTCAAATGAAACTTCATAAACAATTGTGCGGAAGAAAGCGCAGGAAAAAGGGGGGGAAAACATAAATAAGGCTCCATAAGCAATTTTACTTGGTGCTCCACTTTGACTTCAGCAAAATCTTCTTCCCCGTCATTTTCTGCTGCAAAATTAATTGATAATATTTCATTTCTGAATACACAACTATGGTTACTGAATCATTTAGTAGTTCAAATTAAGTGCACCAAGATTAGTTGCTAACTAAGTGAATAGAATGCAAACATTTTTAGCAATAAGAAAATGATTGAATGCTTCCTCATTTCAAAACTAAATAAACAAATACAAAGCTTTCTTGTTTCATTCCAAAACTGATTCAATATCTTTGAACTGGTTTTTAGTACCTAATGTCCTTTTTATGCTTTTAGGCTCCTGCAACTAACACCATCATTTGAAACCAAAACATGTAAATTTCTCCTCATACAAAATCAATATCTTGTTTTAGTGAAATTTGTGCTCACAAGTTGTAACAACTGGCAATGCAAATGTAAGATCACCACTTGTCTTTAGGATGCACAAGAGAGTTTTATTGCTGGAGAATATCATGTCTCAGAATTGACAGGCATCTTATATTATTTGTCCATGGTCCTACCTTTTCAAAATGATTCAATGACTATTTAACTAGTTATGTTTTTAAAACTATAATTCATCATTTAGAAGATGTCAGCACATGAATGTAAACAATATATAAATAGAAAGTATCCATCAAGTCGCTTAATAAGACAATGATCAGGCAACTAATTAATGTCACTTCACATAGAGGGATTTCGGCTTTGAAGAATATTTATTTGTCTGCTTGTATGGGGGTGATCATGACCTTTTAGAGTGGTATTGCCAGCTCCACCATTTCTCAGATGATCACTCGATAGGGAAGTTGAATGATCACCAGACCTAGAGCTGATGAAATCAGAATGAATATTTCCAGGAGCACCCACAACTGAATCTTGGCTAATATCTGTTTGACCTACTCGTGGAATAACAGTTGGAAAAACCTCTGAAGGATCTTTCGACACGTGAGTACTTCCTTCATGCAGATTGCTTGCCAAATTAATACTTCCTTCCATGCTTCAATCCAAATTTATTAGAAAACTAAGCATATCTCACACACACACAACTATTGAATTAAAAGATGCTTACCTTCTAAACTGGGATAGCTGTGCTTCTTTCTCATCAAGTAAAGCCTGAAGTTGTGACAATTTAAGATTTAAATGTACAATATCTCTTTTGAGAAGGTTGGTAGCATTTATCTCTGAACTGATCTTCAGTAGAGCAGGTAGGCGTGATAGTATTAAGGATAATTTCATAAAAGACTATATAATTGGCTGAGGACATAAGCATCTCCAATCAAATCTAAAAGTACAAAAGATAAACTAAAAAAAAGAAACAAGGAGAAAGCTAGAGATATGAAATATAGTTGTGAAAGAGATCACCAAGAAATTAATTGCCCGATTATTTATGTTTTATTCCCTTCCTTTTTTTCTCCCTATCTCACACAAATGACGATAACCCCATACATGAAGTCCCAAACGCCATACTTCCCCATTGTTGTAACCAAGAAAGCTTGCGAAAGGTAACATACTTAAGATATACAGAGAATGTGTATTCATTGAAAAAAAAAAAAACATATTCCATCCCTACAACCTATAAAAGTATCATTGTGCAATTAGTTAAGAAGATAATTCGCATCAGTAAATAGTATCCTTCCGAAACTTGTTTCTTTTTTCCTCTTTGTGATAATTTATCAACCTTCTTGGTCGTTAACATAATAATAACAGTATATATGAATCTGAATTACAAATGGAACTTAAACAAGAAAAGAAACTAATGATTCTTTTTGTAAAGGATATGAGTACCATTGAAGACCTCACTAAAGAAGTTTCTAGCAGAAAGATGCAAGGCCTGGTACCACTCTTTGGAGAAAAAGATTCGAAAATCTGGATCCAAATGCGGATTCTTGATATAAGGAATCGCTGCAACACAATACAGCATCTCATTCTCAACACTAATCTCACTGATCAAGTTCATTAGAAACGACGAGAAAAGAAACGAAACGCACCAAACCAGTGAGACCAATCTTGAGACCTCTGCAACAAGTCGGTGCCACTGAGTGCGAAAAACTCGACAACTTTGTCGATACGGTTGCATTGCAAGGCGTGAACGACGTAGAAGCGTAGAAGAGAAGTCTCCAACTTAGAGAGAGTGGAAACGAGTGGCGTTTCGGAAGAAGAGAGGTAGCGTTTGAAGAAACCGAGCAGAGCAACCAACTTATCAGCCTGAAACTTTGGAACGTAGAGGGAGAAGATTAGGTCAAGAATCTTCTCAACCTCGAATCCTTTACCGATATCGGTGCGCAATTCGGCTTCGTAAGCTTCGAGAGTGTTGGTAAAACCTCGAAACACCAGAAACTCCCTCACCAACTCCTCCGCATACTGCATCTTCTCCATCAAGAATGGATCTAGGTATGGGAACAGAACGCAAGAATGGAATCGTGTTGAATTCAAAGAAATTTACGGTTACGGCGTCGTATCGGAACGATGCTTGTGGTGTGGCGTTGCTAAATTGCGCCGGTGAGGTCCATAGGATTTGGGAATCTTGTAGGAGACGGTTGATAAGAGTGGCGCGTTGTGTTTTTGGTTTAGAGTGTGAGTTAGCTCCCAAACCATCCCATGCCTCCACCACGTGCCTCGTTTGCGTTCGTTTATGGCATTGATTCGATTGTGACGCTGTCGGTTCAAATCGGCTTTTTTTTCCATAAAATTGAAAAATAATTTGTCTATTTTGAGAATGATAGGTTGCTTATAGGTTATTTGTTTATCGTAGACAGCTGAGCTGGTTCATGATTAAATTCTAATAAATTATAGGTTGCTTATTCCCTACTTCTGTATTTGTTTCATTTTAATCCAATTTTTAAGCGTGCGATTTTAGGTTTTTTATTTTTTTAATTAAGTAGTTATCTAATTTTTAAGGATCATTGTATTGCTTATTTTGCTCTTCTTCCTCCTCCTTTATCACTGCTGCTAATACTCACCACATTCTCACCAATTCTCCTCAACAACATGTTCTTGTCGGTTTGCATTTTTGGCGAAATATCAAAAGCTTCTTTGAAGTTTTCAGTAGCACAGGGGCTGGGCAGCAAGAAAGCAATAACAACGAGAGGTAGGGGTCAGGCAGCAACAAGAGCAGGAGAAAGGGGAAAGGGGGAGCATGTAATGGTGCATTCTAGTCAAGGGGAGAAGAAGACTGGACAATGGCGGTCGCAAATTGGATAACAACTTAAAGGAAAAGCCAAATTTTGCTTAATTAAGAAGATAGAAAGAATAAAATTCCGCAATTAAAAATTAAAGAATTAAAATTGAATTAAGTTGGGGACAAAAATATAATTTATCTTAAATTATATTTATTTTATATTTTATAAACATTTTTTTTTGAATATTTTCTAAATGCCTTACACTATTGTGCATGGATTATTTTTTTATATCGTTTAATTTTACCAAGTAATTTAACAAAAAAAGCTTAATTGGTAGGAAAATATTTTATTAATTATTTATAATATTCTATTTTATGTGATGTCTATTAAGAAAATGAACATTTTTAGGTAAGATAAAAGAGAAAAAATAGTATATCATTACATTTTTTTTTTCGGTTAGAAATATCATCAAGAGTTAATTATTTTGTATTAAAATTAATTTATTTTAATATTATGAGGAACAAATTCATTGATAATATTAATTTAAGATATTAATGTTTTACTTATTGAGTCTTTTTTATTTCAAATGATTAAATTAAAATATTAATATCAAACAAATATAAGTTAAAGAACTAAAATGAAATAAGAGTAAAATAAATAAAATACAAATTTTATCATTTAATAGTTAAAAGTATAATATGCAGTGTACAAATATTTTGTTATAAAATAAACCTATATACAATATATAATAAAATTACTTAAAACATGAATTTTAAAAATTTATTTTAACTTATTTTGATAATCATAAATAATATATATCAAATAAATATTCAATAAAATTATAAAATAATAAAAACATTATATTATAATATATTATAAATTTTATATAAATAAAAATATTTATATACAGTAATAAAATTTATATTTTTAAAATTTAAAATAAAATTAATAAAAAAAATCTGATACAAAGAAGGTAATCCATACATTATTGTGACACAGAATTGTATACATTTTATAGACAGAGTATGTTCATCTTCATCCACGGTAATTGCTGCACAACAACAAACGGCATGCATACAGCTCAATGACTGTTAAAACAAGCATCACTAAAACCATGAAACCAATATAAACTTTACGCCTCAGCAACTCTACTGAATCGGGCTTGATAATTTGGTTCTTGTTCGAACCCTTTTTGTCAAGTATTTTGCCACGCTGAATTCTGAAGTAAATCAAATTCTGATGGATGTAGTTGATATCTAAGTGGTACTGAATCCGGTAGAAGGCGGTTGCAGCATCAATAAAGGCCATCAAATATATGATCGAAACCAAGAAAGAGATAGTGAAAGGGATCCACCAATGTTTGCATTGGAGGGAAGAGGGTTGGTGCAATGCGATTGCAATGAAAATTAGGCCTAGGAATAGAATGTATGTAATTGTCAAATTCTGAGCTCTTGTTTGGTGGTAATGGACTCTCTTCTCTTGCCTCTCGTTCACTCTCCTAAGTTCCTTCAACCTTAACCTTTCGTTCAAATCTTCCTCTGTCTCCATGCTATGCTTCATATAAGGCACTTCACATATATATATTCATCTGGTACCGTGTATACATCATGAAGCTTCAATTTCTTGCGTAATTTTGCATCCTTTCATAACCAAAAACAATGATATTTTTCTATAATTTATCGCCGTTTAAGGAACAAGGTTTAATATATAGTTTGGAAGTATATCACGAAAATGATCATCTACATAAAAGACTATTTTACGATCTCGTCGAAGCTAAGGGATAAAGATCATCATTACCCCTAATCACCATTTGACACATAAATATAAAAAAGTACACGTCAATATCTTCACCGATTAATTTAATTTTAACGCTTTATTCAATAGAATAGTTAATCAACTAATTTAACAGTCTTTTCGTGGCCTTTTCATCAAATTATTAATAATTGAGTGCTTCAAATTTCGAAAGCGTACGCTATGGTTTGCCGTCGTCACTGGAGAACTCAAACCGTGTTGATTTGTACTCCAGAAACTTCATTTTAGCTTCATGCCTGCGATTCTGTCAAGCTTTCAGAGGCAGAGATTGGGTTGAGGGAGCAGCCGAGAGACAGAGAGAGGCGAGTCAAGTCAAGCACATAATTCTGAATCATACGATAAAATAAGAGTCATGCTTGTACACAAAGTAATGAAATAGGGTAGTTGAATAAAACAAGATACATCATTGTCGTATACCATATTTAATTTAAATTAGGATAGTAAATAAAATAAATAACAATATTTCATCCTTGTTAACATTTTAAATAAATGTAAAATAATACAACAATATATAAATTTTATTCAAATAGTTAATTATTTTTTTTTAAAATTAATATAATTTTTTATTTAACTTTTTAGTTTTCAGTAGAAATATATATATATTATATATAAAATAATTAAAAATTAAAATTATTTTTGTGTACAAATAATATTGAAAAATTATAAAAACATAAATAAATTATAAAATTTTATATGTATATTTTATAAAATCAGTAAAATATTTTTTGTAAAAAATTAAAAAATGTTTTTATAAAAAATATTTTTGAAAAATAATGTTCATTTACTTTTTTAAACTCGCTGTCTTTTTTAAGGTAAGAATTTATACAATCATAATAAAAAAAACTCAACTAAATAAGGTATTATGACCCTGTTTGGGTAAGTTTATGGATAAATTCTTGTAAGAAAAAAAAAATAAAAAAAATCAAGAAAACTTCTCTTATAAGTTAAAATTAGTTTATATTATTGTATTTCTTAAAAATTAATGATATTTAACTTTTTAAAACTTGAAGAAATAAATTATTTTTAATTCATGAGAAAAAATTGATTTATTTTCTATATTATTTGTTTCTCTTACAAAAATATATATAAGTTCATGCAAGCATGACTAATTTGCCCCAAAAGTATTAGACAAGATTTACCATTTATCCATTTAGCTAGAAGTTTGGACAATGTATGTAGTGCTTGTAAAAAGGAAAGTAAAAGGTTGTATTAGTATATAGTAGCATGTCAAAATGGGTAGGACGAGCATCGAGTTTGGATGCCTCGTTACAAAAGGATTTGAGTTTGGTGCTATTACTGAATGCAACCAATGAAATTATCCACGCTTGGGGAGAGAACTTGAACAAACACCTGATTTTTGCTTCGAGACAAAAGAAACTGATAAATTAGCACCACACCTCATTAACTAAGATCATAACTTTGTCATCTTTGTAAAATTCAGTTTTAATGTAGGAAAATAATATGAACCGAATGTATGTTTGGATAAATATGACCGAACACTTGAAAATGTTTTTAACTAGAAGACAAAGCACAGCTATGCTAGTGAGATGCGTTTTCAAAAGATTGCATTACGGCTTTAAACCTGAAGAATCATCATAACTATGCTTAACTATTTCCCAAACTCCACGGTCTTTCCTTACTCCTCACGCAAGATCCCTATCTGAGATCATAGAAGATTATTTCAATGCAAATCAGTTTTAACTTTTTTTTGTATATTCCATGTCTATGACAGCATATAATCAATGATAATGATTTACACTACTTTCTAAGCATTTTTCTCTAATGGTTGTAATATTTGTAGTGAACAATTTCAGTCACCACACTAATGACTATGACCAACTTATCTATCAAAATCTGCTTAACTTCTCCTATAGACTAGTTGAGCACAGAAACCGAACTGTTTTCTTAATTTTTTGACAAAATAACTTAAATCCCTTACCAATTTATGGCTTCCAATGTGGTCATTTTACTACCATTCCTATCTTCGTTTGTGTTAATCCTAGCAGTTTGTTTGAGATGAGGGAACCTTAAAGGAAACTTGTGCTTCTGGGAACTACGCTTTTGTGAACATATATAGCTTTCCTAGATGCATTTGGGAATGACACAACTCCAGCTTTGAACCTTGCAGGCCGTTGTGAAACTTTATACAATGGATGTGCCAATCTGAGTTCTGAGATAAGGTCATGCCAAGCCAATAACACCAAGGTAATTCTCTCCATTGGAGGAGCTACTTTTGAAAATTATACTCTAACTTCTCCTGAGGATGATAGGCAAGTTGCAACATTCTTGTGGAACAACTTCTTGGGTGGACAATCCTGTTCACGACCCTTTGGAGATGCTGTTTTGGATGGGATTGATTTTGTCATTGAGGGAGGAAAGGTTCAGTACTGGGATGAGCTTGCAAGGAACCTCTCAGGCTACAGCACCCAAAACAAGAAAGTGTATTTAACTGCTGCACCACAATGTGTTTTTCATGATGCTAGCCTTGAAAATGCCCTCAATACAGGCCTGTTTGATTATGTTTGGGTTCAATTCTACGATAACCCACCCTGTCAGTACACTACAGGAAATGTAACCAATCTTCAAAATTCTTGGGAACTATGGACCTCAAAAGTTCCTGCAGCTAATATTTTATTAGGCCTACCTGCTGCTCCTAACGCTTCTAACAATGGTAGTGGCTTCATCCCTCTCTCTATATTGACTTCAAAAGTTCTTCCAGCCATTAAGA